TTGGCTACGGGTACTTTACTGCTATCTACCTAGAACTTCCCACGCCAGCTTAGGGTTGAAGGGCCCCATCGCTTAGGCCTCGGTCAGATTTTCGGCCCTCACTAGGCTCCACACAACGCAGCACCATACAGGAGCGATCTCGACGCCGGTGGCCAAATTTGGACTGCAATCGCAGCCTCATCCACCAGTAATCCGTTGGGATCTGCGGTCTGTTGACTAGGAGGGTTGCCCAAGGGCTGTTTGGCCCACGAAATGAAAACATCCCATCACAAACGGTACCGAGGTCCTTTAGTGATCACCGGGTTGCTGCAGTCACACGTTGACGTGAGAAAAAGTCAAGACCTCTCCTTGAACTATCTCTATGCCTTTCCCCTATCTTGGATTGAGTCGTTAAGTATACAGCATTTCTCTGGGTTATATTAAAGAAGGTGTCCAGTTGAACAATTCGTGGTACTTAGAGCCTTTTACCGCACCATCGATGAACGAACTGGCTTGATGTAACCTAATGATCAAGGGATACTTGCGTGGTAGTGACATGGAACTGGTCTTACGATTAAAAATTTCTATATGATTCGTAAAATACATCTGTATCCGGTCCTAAACTACTCACACGCGACAAAGCCTTCCATCTGTCTGTTCCGCCCACTCTTCACTTCCCACAGCCTTCAAAGCGTACAAGGTGTGGTTGGGGTCGTACTTGTTCTTGATAGAGCTTAACTTAGCATAATTGTCACCGTAGAACGTTGACTGCCAATCAGGCTGGTTGAAGTCAGCCTCATTCAGGTAAGCACCGCTGCCAGGTGCCAAATTCTCAAGTAGGGGGAGAAGTGTTTCTGTCATGAGTTTCTGGTTTTCGACGTCATGGGTATAGTTGTAATAATCGAAGGAACTATAGATAGGTAAATGGTTTGACAGAGCTTCATACTCCTGATCACGACGGAGAAAGACTTACGTGCCGAGGACAATGCGAATCAGCGCATCGCGCCATGCGGGATTGACAGAGTTGTCTGGTATAGTCGACCGTGAAGCATTAAAAGAAACCCCTGCAACGACTGCCCCGTAGTCGGTGATGGTACGAAAGGAATCAATGAGTGGGCGAAGATCGTCATCTACCGTGCTCCGCGGGATCAGACGACCGCCGATTTGAAACTCGGTCACGGCCATCCATGGGCTGAATCGCGTGTAGCATTCGTAAAAGCTGGAACAACTGGCAATGTTGTACGCTGTACCAGTCAGTAGTGACTCTGATTGAGATGATTAAACGTACTATAGGTCATGTTGTTGCTGCTCAGAAGGTCCAGGGTGGGCTGCATCAGCGCCTGCAACTGCTCCTTGGTGCCGCCGGGTAGCGTGGACGGCATGCTCTTGAAGACCGCGTTAGTGACTTCCCAAACCGCAGCACCACCTAAATCGGCCAGCCTAGCCGTATCCTGAATGTAGCTTGTGGCAACTTCCCAGAACATATCCTCAGTTACTCTGTCATTGGTGAAGGTCAAGTTGGCGATGGCGGCCGGAATGTCAGTATAAAGCTTGCTGGTCATGGACAGGGCAACGGCGTAGGTGCCCCCGCCGCCACCGCTCATCGCCCAATATAGATCAGAGTTATTGAAAGGGGTAGCAACCAAGTGGTCTCCGGTGGCGGTGATTACCTCCCACACCAGAACCTGGTCTGCAGCCAGGCCATACATGGACATCAGCTGGCCGTGGCCTCCGCCTTGAGAATATCCACCAGCATAGCCTACTGTCTGGCAGTTGCCACCCACGAGGGTGTACCCATGTTCATGGGCCACATTCATGGCGTCCAAAATCTGCACACCTGCACCGACCTTGATGGCGGGCCCGGAGTAGCCTGTTGACTGGTATTCGACAATTTCAATATCCTTCAGATGATGAGTCCAAAGGGCCAGGGCACCAGCCCCAGTGGACCTGCCAAGATAATCGTGGCCAGTATTGCGGACAACAAGACGGATATTATGCTTGCTAGCAAACTCGATGGTTGTCTGATAATCCTGCGCGCTGCTGGCATTCACGGCATACCGGACCAGGTGCCTGATGGTGCAGGGTGTGTTGGGCAGGTATGGATCGCAGGAGAAATTGGCGAACCACGGCGCCATTGGGGAGTAACTGGTCTCATAGTGGGTTCTGGTTTCGTTCCACACTGCCAGCAGCTCTTCACAAGCCGCCGCATCGTATGGCAAGAATGTACTGTTGAAGTGGCACACACTCGCAGCAGGGACTGTGGCGATGAGCCTCCCCCCCAGGGTAGCGTTGAAAGTGTCCCAGTCCTGCGTGGAAGGCCAGCACGCATCTCCAGGAAAGCAGCGACACGACGAGCCGGTTGAAGCTGCAGCAATGGATAGCAATGAAACGAAGAAGGACAGTTTGCCAGCCATTCCGGAGGAAAAGCACAAAACTTCAATTATGGCAAGCGAAGTGACTATTAGCTTGCATTCGAACTCGGCTCGATTCTATTAGGAATTCGACTATATCTCTCCTGTCAGTTGCATGTTCGCCAAGGCCTTCTACTTCGGATACTTTGTATACTATGCAGGTTAAGGGGGAGGCGCTAACGGCCTACCGCCACACCCGCCTGGCTGCCTCCACATCCGTACCATCCGCTTCCGCTGATACCTCATGACGTGTTGAGGGCTCACATCACAAGCACGTGACCGGAGAGACCATCTTATAAATTATGAGTGAGTATTGATGCTAGAAACAGTGTTTTCTTTGTTGCCGTCTTCCGTATTAGATTTCCGGTATGTGGGGTTGCTGATCGGGACGCATGCACTTGTCAGACAAACCTTCGGGGTCTGGCGGCTCCTGTTTCGTCAGACCAGTCGCCCTACTAGTACTACAAAGGGTATACCTCTACTAAATCTGGCGTTTTGCGACGAGCTACGCTTTATCAAGATTGACTTTCTAGGAGTTTCCTATTGTTTATTATGCCGTATTTAATGATCGCCTGAATGAAGCTATCTGTAAGTGACCGGGACTTATTATGGATACTGCTTTAGAATCAATCACAGAATGAGTTGGGTTTATTCCTAATTGTTCTTCTACACACCCTTTGCTCTATTATAGACAATAGTGATTTATCTTGGTTACTAGTCGAAACTAGTCTGATATACTCTGCCTGATTTACTCTATGAACAGGTGAACAAGATGAATAAATTAGTTGTTCACTTGACTACAATCATCTCCTGACAGTAAACACATACTATTCAGTGGATCCATCAGATTCCCCTCCCTCAAAGTCTTCGCAGCTCGCACCAAACTAACGGCCGATGTGACAGATCCGGAAATCTTTCCTACACCCCTAACACGTCCAATGCCTCTATCATTTCTTTTGAGACCAAGGGTACAAGTTATCGCAAGGTTGTCTCGACCGATTCGCCTCATAGTAAAAGAAGTGCACGGATTTCTTCTATCGGACTAATCTCCCCCAGTTGCATACCGTAGCCGACAATGGCTTCTCGCAAAGCATCATTTCCAGTCGAGCGCATCCACCACGACAGACTGCGACCAAAGCAGTCTCGAGGCTCCTATGTTAGCGGATGGTTCTCGAGGATCTTCCGGATGACATTCTCCCGTCCCTGCTGAACCGCTACAACTAGGGGAGTGAACCCAAATTCGTCAGGACGATGGACGGCGCAGCCCCGGGATCTAAGTTCTTCGAACATGTCTTCATGGCCAGCGACTGCCGCGTGGAAGAGCGCCGACCGACCTTGTTGATCAACGTCATCCAACCCGAAACCGGGAGTGTGCAGTAATTGGGTAAACACGCCTTGGTGACCCTTAATGACTGCCCAGGAAAGCGCGTTTCACCCGTAGAGGCCGTCAACCCCCTGAAGGGAGAAACCCTGCTCTATCAGCATTGCGACCATGTCCGCTTTGCCCTGGAACGCAGCCCAACACAGAAGAGGCATACGGAAGACGCCTTGCTCGACATCACTGCCCGGATATCGTAACAATATCTTCACCATTTCCGGAGTACCCTGACAGATAGCCATTCCCGTAATGGTAGTCCCTTTTAAGCAAAGGTTACACTCGGACTTTTGCAGGAGTAAATCGGCCTGCGTTGCAGGAAAAGCTTGATAATATGTGGCCGGAACGTGTTATCAACCTTTTTTCCACATTCCCACCAATCGTGTTGAGCCATTATTACCATTCCGGACCCTCACCGTCGATTGTATGCTGCATGTAGCATACAGCTGGAGGCAGTTCTTAATGAGCTTTCTACATGGCTACCATTGAAGTTTGTAAATTCTATCAATTTCTTGATCAGACGAGTATATGTCCTGGGTCACACACGTGGACTCCTTCCCCACCTGAATTATTAATATCAGGAGAATTATAATAACCCTATGGGTTTTTATTTTTTATTTTTCTTTTGTTTTGTTTGAGTGAGGAGTCGAGCTATTGTCACAATCGGGGCACAGTCAATATCAATGATCACCTTGCCAATGTCTCTGAACTCACTAAAACAGGTACGCCCCGCATGCCTTTCGGGATTTGAAGATCCACCCATATTCATCGCAATTGTTAAATTGTAATTGTCATCCTATTCAATTGACAACTTTACCAATATCTAATTTATAATTAGTCTATCATCGAAAGGGATATCAAAGTATAGATTTGCTTTTATGCTAATCTTAAACACGAATAGCTACCGATCTGGCTGGTCTCATTCAATGTTTACGTACCTTAATAAGAAATGGTCATACCTGCTAGCTGATCTATATAGTTTCTCCCGCAGACATGAACTGAGGGCTATTAAACTACGAGTTATGCTACGTCGAATCCTTCCTAGATCAGGCTACACTGGAAAGCACTAATATATAAGCAAATAATTCAATTCAACTACAAACCGTCCAAGACTCCGCAATAATCCTCCCGCACACGATAGCTATCCCAATAACTTCAAATGTATCCAGCGAGACCACAAACAATTGTGTATGACCTGCACAGCAGATTCACACCCCCGCCCCCAAAGCAACTTCTTAAACCGCAATAGCAGCATCAACAAGAGGGGCCGCCTCCTCACGCTTGGAGCCCTTGGGCGCCTGATCGGCAAAGTCCTTCACACCGGTGTCGATAGCGTCAGAGATGCCACCAGCGATGGAACCAGCCAGGCTCTGGAGGTTCTCCGGGACCTTGGAGACGATCGTGTCGGAAAGCTTCTTGGCAGCAGCCTTCTGCTGAGTCAGGTCATTGTAGGTCTGCGTGCCCTTTCCGGCCTTGACGATGAGACTCTTCTTGCCGTCGAGCTTGTTAATGACGGCGGTGATCTTGTCCTTGAGGTCGTTGACGGGGCCGGGGAGTCCCAGCGCGTCGCTGCTGCTAAGGGCGGCCGTGCTGCTGACCTTGGTGTTGCCGTTGTTGATGGCCGTCACGAGGGTGTCGGAGGCTTGCTGGACCTTGGCGACGTCGCCACCGTTGTAAGCTTGGATGGCGGAGCCCAGGGCGTCGACCTTGGTGCCGATGCTGGAAAGGACGCCGGTGACGGTGGGGAGGTCGCGCTCCTGCACCGCGGTGGGCGCAGCGAGAGAGCCGGCGGCGAGGCCGAGGGTGAGAATGGAGACAATGGAGAGCTTCATGATGATGGTTGAGATACGGAGTTTGGATTAAGTTAAGAGTTGGTAGTAGAGTTATGTTTGCTGATTGCTGATGATGATAGGCATGATTGAAGGACAATTGAGTGACTTTATATAGCTCTCTGGCTATGTCCTCGTGGAGAGGGCCAAATCCCAAATGGGCAAAAGAACGACACCGTGATGATACATTGCTGGCAAAGCCTGAATAGTAGGTCAACTTCCACCAAATGACGATGTGCAAACCCTGAATCGTCAGTGATTAACAGGGACTGGATCACGAACCGTTAGGGATGGCTGAATTTCCGGGGAAGTTGGAAGCAGAGACCCAAAAAGCGGGTGTTTTGGAGCGTTTCCATTTGCTTAGTGGAACCGTAAATGTTAATGCTGAACCCTGTCCCACGGGGGTGTTCACGAGGATTATACACTATGTCGATCTTTATTTATAATTTAACCTTTGCTTCACTTACTGCCTGTGGTCCTGATTTTTTGGTTCGCACATCACCGCGGGAGTTTATTTTGCGGAGCTCGGGATCAACCGCCAAGTTATGAGCCAACCAACCAAATCGAATGGTTTCATGATGTGGAGTTTGCGATTTTGCACCCAATTTGATGCGTAGGAGTTTGGGTTTGTGGGGTGCTTTGACCAACACCAATTATGAGATTGCTACATCCTGCTCCTAGCGGCTTCGTCGCAGGGCAGGGCAATTGCGGGATCACCTTTGATCCAATCACTACCAGGCGGCCTTTCTGGAGAACTTGGAACTTCATTACCGCTGATCAGGACTCCGGATTGTACCAGAGTGTGTTCATCAGGCTCGTGCTGCACTGGCGCTTCACGCCTCATACAATGCTGAGCCACGGGGCGGTATCATTGGGGAAGGGAGCTGGAAGGTGGATGAATGGGCGGGATGGCAAGTCAGGGTACAGAGGAAGGGTAGCAGTGTTATTAGGTCCGGTCACGCTGATGGTTTTATTTACAATTGCTGGGCATGTTTGACATGATTTCTTGTCTCTTTAATGGAGAGCTAGGTCTTTATTCTTCTTTCCTGCTCGACAATGAGAGACTCTAGATACCTGGGATGTAATTCACGAAGGTCACTTTCCTACAGTGCTTAGTGAAGCAAAGTGTGTCGCATATACAAGCTTACTTTTGGCATATGAGGGTCTACAAGTTCCACTAGTAAATTATCGCTTGCTAAGATGGATCAACCGTGTACAGTGAACAGTATATCTGCTCCTTGGCGGAATCCATCGGCTTGCTAGTGTTGCAATATTTCAAGCTTATATATATTTAATTGGCTGTGATAGACAAAGGCTTTCTTTTCAAGTAGCTACTACCGCTATATCAGAAGAAGTATCATTGACTGTCCTGAATACACATTATTATCTGCTGAAGCTGTCTAGCGGTCTCAATTTGCTTCAACATTTATACCTTAGGGCCAAATATCGGAAGTTCAATCAAATGAGCAATTTGGGGGTTATCCCCTTTTTCTCTTTTAGTTTTTTTTTTTTCTCCCTGGGTCGCAGCTAGCTACAACATCATAAATAACATGATTCGCTACGGGAGTTCGTGTATAGTGCAGAAAACCACTTCGTCTCCCGAAAATGTCCACACGCATACTACCTAGACGAGACCCATACCAAGCTCAATCAAAGTCGCGCATATCACTAAGGCACACCTATACACAGATCCATTCAAGTGTTATGAATATTGATTCTTGTCCGACTTTGGGGGTCATGATTGATTGGCGCCCTTCGAAGGCCGCAGCGTACATATCTTGGGTGACGAGTACGCTCCCGGCGTCGTCCTGGTGTTGGCTCCTGTGGGCCGTTATCTGAATCCCAGCTTAGGGAATGGCGTGATAGCGGCGGTCTTGCCAATGGGCGTGTAAGTCTGGGATCACGACCATCGTCCGGGTCCAACGAAGGTTGTTGCGCTTTTGGTCCCTCCGGACAGGTATCTGGTTCCAAACGTTTGCGTTTCTTAGACCTACTCTCCTTACCAACCCGTTTTTTGTTGCCCTTTTCGACCTCTTTATCTTTCTTGTGTTTCAAATTGGCAAAGTCCAATTTCAATTTTTCATTCTCTTTCCGGAGTGCCTCAATCTTCTCAATGGCATCACGGGACACGTCGTTGCGCTCTTTTTGCAGTTTCGCACAGTCCAATAAAGCCGATACCCGATCCTCTTGGGCGCGAAGACAATCTTCCTGCAATTTCTTGACCAGTTGCTTCAACATTTCGATTTCATCGGAAGAACACGCAATTGAACCGCTGGCTGCGAGCGAAGCTCGAAGCTACGCGAGATCGCTTCGAAGCACGTTAAGGTGATCTGTAGTAAAATCGATTACTTCCTGTGGAGGTCGTTTAGGGTTTTCTGTAGAGGATTGAGCCCCTGCCAATTGTAGTACAGGGGATGTTGATTCACAGGTCGGATCATTAGGAGTTTCAGCTGGGGCGGGTGGCATCATGGTGACTGAGTTGCTCCTGCCTGCACGCTCTGGTTCAGACGCCTTGTCAAGCTCGGGAGCGGCGCAGAGAGCTAGACGCAGATTCTCAGATATAATCTTGAAACGTGCATCAATAGCCTCAATATCCTCGTCCATGATCTAATATAGATTAACGGCTATCAGAAGAGGTAATGCTGCTTGCTAATGGATACAACTTTCGTTATGAGAGAGGAAGGTTGTGATGACGAAGTGAGGAGCTGCACAGGATAATCTGGTCGTCAGAATCTTTCCTTGACGGTAGATGTGAATATCGCCCTGGTGATACATCGATTAGTCGTTCATTTGTACGTGTGAAGGTTTCCTACCATCGGTAGGTCAGCTATAAGTATCAGTCATGTAGATTGCTTTCTTCCTCTTCATCGTCACCCTTTCTGCACAACAGATCTTGACTGTTGAACCTGTTGGCATCCCAAGTGAGTGACAAAAGCAAGCCCCTGTTTTTATAGAAGCACCTTATCATGTCTTCAGCTCATCACAAGTTTTTGACGTGAAATCATCCAATCAACTCTTGAAAAGAACATCCGTAGACCAACAGTTTGAAGATCTGCAAACCTCCATCGTCTCTGTTAAAATCGCGCATTTACCTACATAATCGCCATCAGACCAACGCGATGCCCAACAACACGAACGGACGCCCTGTTCAAGGGGCTCATATAGATGGAAATGAATCATCTGATACAATTGAAACATCCAGCAGTGTCACTGTTGGTCTGATGGAGCGGGAGATAAGGGACCGGATCATGGCCCTTCGGGAAAACACGACGAATGAATTTGAGGAACAGCTCTACATCGAACCCTACACTGCTATAGAATCGCAAGAGGGAGAAGTCGGAGGAGAAACCGATTCGAATACGGCTCCTGTAGATGAAGTTCAGCGCCGTCACGGTTCGGTTATCGACCTAACCTCTATCCCCGCCCCTCTCGAAAAGGCTCTAGCCAAGATCAGATCGACGGGAATGCCAGAGGGCAAAGTTCTCCGCTGGCCGGTGACTCTGGACCAATGGCGAAGCGACGAATTTATCGCGGATGCTGTTGAGGATCTGCAATTCTTTTTAGATTTGTTCAAAATGCGCTTGGAAACCCTTCGCAATGGAGCAGTTGAGAAAGATCCGAAGCTTCGCGCTGCATTGTGGCGGGCTGAGATGAATGCTTTGGATTCTCCTCTCTTGAAGAGGCCGCGGCGTGAATGAGTACTTATTCTAATGCCGGTACCTTCGATTTGTTGTCTTACTGAAAGTTGTTACCCCTTTTTTACTGTCGCAAGAGTATCTGTGTCTCGATTTGGCTCAACTACGCCTGCTTTCTGCTGTTGTCTGTCTGTTTTGGTCCTTCTTCATGAGACAAGAGACATAGTCGTCAAATTATTCCAGTGTTCAATATCATTAGGGGATCATGATGAGCATACGACGATAATACAATACATCGCTGTCAATGGGTTAGAGCGGGTTGTCGTCTGAAAGACTCTGGGCCCATATTCTCGAATAATACCGCTCTTGAGGAAGATGCCAGACATACTATGCCTTTCAAATAAACACTGATGAAGGTAGTAACATAGGCCCGCATGATATATGGGCTGTGAAGGTTGACTATGATCTGCAGTTCCAACAGATGGGCGTGAGCAATGACCAGCAGTTGTGTTTACATGTGAGCTGGTTTCGAAATAGGTGATATTTTGTCTTCTTTCCACTCTATCTATTTTCAGGGTTATTTTGGAAATGGGGCAGACAGCTGTTGGGTTCGTCTTTCGTCCAGCTGGACTCATCTGCCGCAAGGTTTCCCCCCACCTCAAAGGCATGCAGATCCAGGACAATGCAACAATCGAATAATCTTAAGTAGCGTTCTTTTACTTGGTATGATTCTGGTCTTGGGTTGGATGGATATCTCTCTCCAAAGGGAAGGAACTGGAGTGACCATCATCACGAGCAGTTATAGTTTTTTGGGAAGGATTATATCGATATTAATTTCCACCTGCAACTCTCCCAAGTACCTAAAATTAAGTAGTAGTAGGCGAGAGCCGGCAATGCTTCGAGAAATAGCTGTCGAAAGAGTAACTACATATGCAGCCTTTATGGATTTTGGTTTTGTAGCACGTATTCGTTTTCAATACCTCAGATTAACAACTAAATCCCAATTATATCCTCACTTTTCGAAACATATCCCTAATCCTAACACCCGGTCCTTACTCATAAGGATAAGAAAAACAGAGGATAATATCTATGTAGACATTTATGTCTTTCAATAACCCGGAAGAAACCCCAAACCCCCTCACAAAGCCTCAATCGCCTTCCTCAGCACCTCCAAACTGCGATCACTCACCTCCTGAGCACCCTCCTCACTCTCAGCCATCGTGTCCCTCAACGCCCAAGCAACATCACTCCACCACCCCATCCCCACCAATCCACCTCCCTTCCTCCTTTCCAAACTTTCCTTCAACCGACTCGTATGCTCCCACTGCTTAGCAGCCACCTCGGCCCGCTCAATAACCTTGTCCGGAATGCCACACATCGCCGCACAGTGCATACCGAAACTGCCCTCTGCAACGCCATCCTCAAGCTTATACAAGAATGTGACGCGACGTTCCTCATCATCAACGTGGATGCGCATACGCTTCGGTGCAATTTCAGGATGTCCCTCGAACTCAGCAGCTAGGGAGTGGTAGTGGGTTGCGAAGAAGCCGAGAGCGCCAATATGTGTGGCAACATGGTGCAGGACGGCTTGGGCGACGGCCACACCGTCGTAGGAGCTGGTACCGCGACCCAGTTCGTCGAGGATGACAAGTGAGCGAGGTGTGGCTTCGGAAAGGATCTTCTTGGTTTCGGAAAGCTCGACAAAGAAGGTCGATTGGGCGGCGAAGATATTGTCATTTGCGCCTAGACGGGACATGATTCGGTCGACTGGGGTGAGGCGTGCGGACTGGCAGGGGAGGTAGCAACCGATTTGGGCCATGATTACGGCGACGCAGGTCTACAGATTCCAGGGTTAGTCTAGGTCTTCTCAAGAAGCTGTGGAAGCGAAAGTGCTGGCTCACCATTCGGAGGACAGTGGATTTTCCGGCTGCGTTGGCTCCGGTGAGGAGGTCAATGTTCGCATGTGAGCCTCCGAGCTGGATGTCGTTAGGGATGAAGTCGCCCACTGAGGAGATTAGGCACGGGTGGCGCAACTCCTCGAACTCGAGAACGCTTCGCTCGTCGTCCACGAAGACGGGTCGGCAGCTGGGCTGGCCGAGAGAGGATGAGGCCTTGGCTAAACTGATGAGACAGTCAAGCTGGGCTACAATGCGGACAGCAGCAAGCCAGGTGGTGTAGTTTTCGTCAAATCGTGCATAGAATCGGCCAGCGACTTCCTTGACGATTTGACTGTGTGTTTCTTGAGCCTCCTGCAACTGACGGATGAGCTTGCGCAGCTCCGGGAAGTAGTAGCGCTTGACTTGTTTCGTAGCAGACATTTGGTCCCAGTTCTTCGGGATGTTCTTGACTTTGATCGGCACCTCTAATTGGTAGATCTCTTTGCCATTGTCCTTGTAGATGATAGCGGAAGATCCAAGCTCTTTGCGTACACGCTTCAGCAAGCTCTCCAGGTCGCGGTGGATTTGCTCAATGTTCTCCTGAGAGCTGTCAAAGTCTTCTTCAACACCGGGCTTCGGTACCAAGATGCCGTTCTCCCTCGCCTTCGAACGATCAAAAGCAGTCTTCCAGTACTCGAGCAGGTCATTTAGGTCAGGCATTCCGCTGATCAACTGCCCAATGACACCTTCTCCTGCTGAGCCACTTTCCTTGAGTAAACTCATGGTGTACTCAATCTGCTCAAAGCCTTCCAAGACGCGCAAGAAGTCCTGGGCTTTGCAATTCGCAGCATGGACACGAGAGATGAGCCGCTCCAAATCGGGCATCTTGGTCAGCTGGGACGAAAATTGGTCCCGGACAGTGGGATCAGCATTGAGGGCATCCACGGCATCCAAGCGAGCATTGATCTTATTTGCATCCACAAGCGGGTGGCATACCCACTGCTTGAACATCCGCTTACCAAAAGGTGTGATACAGCGGTTCAAAAGTTGGAACAAGGTGCCCTCGGAGCCGCCATCGAAGGAGTTGGAGAATATCTCCATGTTGATAAGAGTCTGACCATCCAGCACCAGGCTGGTGGCCTTCTTGATCGGATCGTACGCAGTGAAGTTACCAATGGTGATCAAGTCACGATCGATCTTTAGGAGTCGGAGGTACTGCACCAAAGCACCGAATGCAGACATGACCAATTCTTTGTCCCGGGCTTCTCGGAGTGCCTCAGGCCAAGCTTGCAAGTTATCATCGTCGTGCGAGACGAAATACTCGCTCGCATCGAGCTCCTTCACCGTAATGTCAGCCTCCCAGAACTCTTTCACCGGCTTCAGGTAGTTCCAGAGCGTAGTTGGACCAGTGTTATTCTTCAAAATGCGCAAAGCCTTGTGGGACACTGCAGACTTCTCCAAAAGAAGCTCCTGTGGTCGGGTCTGCGCGACAAAAGTTTCAAACTTCGTCATGTCAACATCGTCCACAAACTCAGACAGGAAAAATTGGCCGGTTGCAGTATCAACGAAAGCGATACCAAAGGCAGGCTTGTCATCGATTAGAGCCTCCTTGATAGCAACACAGTACGTAGACATGTCATCCTGCAGCATGGAGCCTTCCACAAGGGTACCGGCCGTGAGAACTGACGACAATTCTCTTCTAATGACTTTGTCTTCTTTACCTCCGCCCTTCTTACCATCACGTTCGCGCATCTCCTTGCCCAGGGCTGACTCAATTTGGTCAACACGAGCGATCTTGAACCCCTTGGCCACGAACTGGTTGGCCCAGTGATCCAAACTCATCTCCGGAACACCAACCATGCGCATGTTCACACGATCAGTAAGCTTTAGATCGAACAATTGATGTCCGATGGTAGCATCATTCTCATAAAGCTCGTAGAACTTGCCCTTCTTGAAGAAAACAACAGTATCCCAGAATTTCTGCTTGATCTCCCAGTATTGCTTCTCGAATGGCGAGAACTTGGTCCAAGCCAATGGTGGGATATATAGAGTGCGAGGGTCATACTCAGGGTGGCCGATAGGATGCCCGTCAATGTCTCGGATATTTGCAAGCCAGGCATACCGTTGTTCAGGCTCCGTCACATGTGCTTTCTGCTTCGTGGCTCCCGATGATTTCTTTGGAGTAACCGGTGCTGTGCGAGGCTGGCGTGGCTCGGAGCTCTCTGGGTCGTACGTCCACTTGAGAGCTGTACCGGCAGATGCGTCTGGTATGTCCAGGTCCAACTCCTCATCAGGTGATACAGGTGGTAAAGAGGAGGACTTGCTCTTCGGTTGGGTCGACGGTCTCTTGCGCTTCTTGGATGGTTTCGCTTCTTCGTCCGAATCGTCTGCAACAATGAAGTCGTCCATTTCTAAAAACCAGTCAGAATAGCATGCAGAAATGTGGGGACAAAAACTCACCATCATCGGAGTAACCCACATCTCCGCCATCGTTGAACTCATCATCACTTTCAGGAGACATCTTCCTTCGCTTGTTCCTGCTGTTGCGACTAGGGCGGAATATCTTCTCGTCGTCATCTTCGCCTTCGGAGTCGGATTCGACGTAATTGACGTGCTTCTTAGCCTGGAAGGATAAGCTGTCAGCACATCTGGAATAAATGAATGCCAGGGTTCAAGTCCTTACCCGTCGCGATGGAGACGCCGTCTTCAACTCGGCTTTGCCATTCTGACTCTCCTGCAGCATCATGTGTTAGTCGTCAATGACACACCGCTGTCTGCAAATCGCACCTGTGCATTATCATTCTGCTCATCCTCCTCCGGAATCACTAGGTCACTACTAGGCACCGGCTCCAATTCCTGCTTGAACTTGGGAACGCTCTTCTTCCGTTCCGCCGCGCCCTTGGCACCTCCGCGTCGCTGCTCTGAGACCCTCTCCGCCGGAGAAGAAGCAGGCTCCGCATTACGAGAAGTGGACGGTGTGGATGGAGACGACTTCTGAAAGAACCCAAGAATTGACTTTTGGTTTTTCATGTTCTGGGTGCTGGACGTGGAACGTTTCAAGGCTCCGGTGGGCGGCGTCGCAGTCGTGGGAGAGGAGGCGGCGGGGGTTCCTCTAGCCATTATGGGTTATATTGTTATATATCAGGGGTAAGGTTGACGGTAGTTTATATCATGCTTTATAATAAGTAAATGGGCCCATTAAATGGGTCAATGGATTTTAGAAATAACGGACGGAGGGGATGGACATCGGACAGGGTGAATCTGGGCTGGACAGTCCTGGGGAGCGCAGCGAGAAACGGGCGTCACGCGTCGACGCGTTAAGTGGATTTCTGCCGCCGCCTTCTGCTTCGAGACTGATAGCCCGGCTGCCTCTCGCCCAATGGAAACCGGGTGGAGATCGAAATATGGGGTAAACCGGAAGTTTAAATTTGATACATCGACTGGACGTGTGGTAGCATAGAAAGGGCTTTCGAAAACTAATTGGAAATATCAATGAGACTCAGGCAAAAGGGCCTCCATGATCAGTCAACACCGCCACTGCCTGGCAGCTAAACACACTGTATCACGAGAGAGCTACCGCGAAACTAGTCAAGATCCTGTTCCTTTTTGGCTACACGCTGAGGTAGGATTGTCGATCGTTAGATACAATTGGCATACATGGTATATGTACATGTCTAAAAATACAATGAGGAGTGTATGATCAAGTCAGAGCCTTCAAAGCTCAGCCAGAGGGCCATTAATTGCTGTTGCCGGTTTCCGGCGCTTCCGTCTCCCACCCGGGCGCAGTGTATCCAGCCGCCTTGAATTCTTCATCGCTCACAATGGTCACGATCTTAAACTTCCACTTGCCCATCTTCAAGAAGAGCTTGTCTCCAATGACGAACTCCTCTGTCTTCGCCGCGGGCCATACCTTGATGGGAGTGAACGCAAGGTCGTCACTCATTTGCCCGCTATCTCCCGGACGACTACCGACATAAGCACCCCGGTTCTCAATTGCACGGTGGCCTTCACTCTTGGAAGCAACCAGCCCTGCGGACCAGAGGACTTTGTTGAGCGTCTGATTGTACACTAGAGACCGCGGAAGGGTGATATTCACTTGGGGCATGTTCGCAAAGTTGGTCTGGGGGGCATATGGGTTTCCAGATTCTGGAGTAACAAAGCCGGCCGTTGGTGACTGGGGACTACCACCGGTCGCGGGTTTCCGAGGTAGGGGGCTTGGTTCTGCTGTAGATAACCGTGGGCGGAAAAGCTGACGATGTTGGAGAGCGACCGCATCAGCCTCGGTCTTGCCATGGATCAGCTCGACGAACTCTGAAGCAAGAGCATGCTGGGCCACGCGCTTAGATGGATCTTTGTTTTGTTCCTCCATAATCTTAGCGATTTCAGGCAGCGGCAGAAAGGTGAACATCTTCAGGTAACGCTCGACAACGTCATCCGGTGTGCGAACGAAGAACTGCCATCCATCAGTTAGGCCATACTAGTTGTTGAGGTGATGCTTCATACCTGGTATAACTCGAAAGTAGAGGTCATGTCTTTGTCGAGCCAGACCGCGTTCCCAGCAGACTTGCCAAACTTCTCGCCAGACGGAGCCGTGAGCAAGGGAGTTGTGATACCAATAGGCCTATCGAGTTCATTCTTAAAGTCGAGGCGTTCCTCAGGTTCGGTCTGGTTCTTGCCGATCGACTTCACAGCGTCCATGCCAAAGAGAATATTCCCGTATTGGTCCGAGCCGCCAACCTGGACCTGAACACCCTTCTTGAAGAGTACCCACCAGTCCCATGCCTGCATTAGGGGGTAAGTAAACTCGGCAAAGGACATTCCATCTCCCTTGGACAGCCGGTTTTTGACCCTATGTTCGTGTGAGCGTCACCCTGGCGATGATTGGGGCAAGAATGAACCTACGTATCCCGGCCCATCATAGGTCCGAGGCGGGTGTGAACGCCTAGGTCTCGAAGCAATTCTATGACAGGCATGGAGTTCCACCAGGTGTTGTTGTTGACAAGGGCACGCCGCCAGTACTTATTCGTGTAGCCATGTCTTCGGCCATACACATCAATGCTGTGGCCCAGCTTCTTGAGCTGCATATGCATGCTCGCCATGTTGGCTTTGCGAACAGATGAGTGGACTTGATCCCGGCTTTTCAGTCGTCCTGTTGGATCACCGAAGCGAGCGGTAGCACCACCAAGCTGCGAGATATTAGCCATGCCCCGTTATTACCCATCCATGCGCATATGACTGACCAGAAATGTGACCGGCAAGCCCCAGACGTAGCCCCAAGCCAAAATCATAAAAGGCAGCATATGACCAACGTGTAAAGACGGGGCGGTAGGATCCACGCCAGCGTACATGCCAACTCGCCGTTGAGTGAAGAGACGGTCTAACGTTTCTCGTTCTCTGCATTTTATTAGAGGGTCCGATTAGCCAACCACCGTCATTTTCAGTTGATACATGTATGTTATTTTGAAATCACCTACCCAACAACATCGTGCAAAAGTCCCCGCTCCTCAAGGTGTTGTGCAAAGCTCTTCCTCTTTCCTGCTTCAATCTCGTCCGCAAAGTCACTCCATTCCTTTTTGGCCTCCAGCTGTTTCTGCACGTACTTCCGCGAGATCCAACGTCTTTGATCCGACGCAATTTGGAAGGTTGGGCATCTAAGCATAGGGCGAATGCTGCTAGAGGGCGATTGGTTCATCTGCAACGCTTCCGCGGTCCGCGCATAGTTGCGAGCGCCGCATAATGTTTTCTGGGGTAAAGTCTTCGGTACCGATAGGCGTACCGCGCGCGGCAGAGCCCCTGTGTATGGCCTCATGATACCAGATAGCAGACAAGTCAACCAATGGCTGCTTGTGACTGACTGGCTATGGTATTGCGCGAGAATGGCAGATCACTCAACTGGAAAATTACCTCCGATAAGAAGCCGATCAGTTGCGCCGCGACGGAGAATTGTTGACGCGGAGCTCGTTGCCCCCTACCGCCATATACACCGCCTAGATTGGCAGAACCTCGCCCAGAAATACCCGGAGCTAAGCGGAGTTAAGCAATACACTCCTGCAATTATCTGGTTGTCGACTATTCAATATAAGCAACCACATCCTAATCTCTTATCTTTCTGGCCTCTCATGCAGCTCAGCTTCCAGCTTTACCTTTACCAACCAGGGCAGTTACTTATAAGCTGTTATATACTGCTTCAGCGCAAGTGATCACGAGCATATAATGCACTGGCATTTCGATATATATCTTGACAGCTACTATATCACCCATCACTAAACAACTACCGGACCCCACAAACTGTACAGCACCAGGGCTACTAAGAAGGCCTGAGGACGTCATCATGAATTGTTACATGATGTGTTTATTCTCCCAAAATTGTGCGATACCAACACTTAGATCCCGTCAAGCCAGTATGCAGCAGAGTGTTTCTAGGAAGCTTGCCCCGGAAAGTATTAGCTGCAGGTCCAAAATGCGGGGAACCGAAATGCCGAAGAACCAAAGCGCATGGGAATCACCTCGGCCGAGTTCGGGCGAGCTCACCCGGCCAGGTTATAAACTTCTGTGATCGCTACATTCTCTCTTATGGCATAAAGGATTGTGGTACCTGGCTGGTTGCTTTCCAAATGTCAACTGTTTAGTTGTCACATGTGTCTAGCCATGCCGCAACCTATGCGACAGACCCAGCGAGTCCCCCGAACATGCATGCAATGTGCTCGGAGAAAGATCAAATGCTCCAAGAAAATACCATGCGAAGAGTGCATCCGCCGCGGGGATACTGTTGCCTGCAAGCGCGAGATTGTCAGGGTCCATGGCAAGGTCACCGTGTGAGCCCACCGCATTCTTTTCTGTCTCAAGCCCAATTGCTGCATGGTCCCAGTAAACTGATATTATGCAAAACATAGTGCAGTAGACGAGGAGACACGAATCGATGATTCAGACGCAGAATCGAACCTTGTGCGAGAGAACATCAGTCTCAAAACTCGCATCAGGCAGCTAGAATCCGTACTCTCTCGGCCTGAAACGCTGAAACTTGAGGCGGATATCTTCCGGCTATCTCCTGCTGCAGGAAATTCGCAATCTTCGGACAAGATTCTGAACGATTTTCAGAGTCTACCGTTTGGACTTTTGGTGGAAGCGTCACAAGTCCCCCGGAGCACAATTCATCCAAGGGACGACCACTTACTACTTGTATTACCAGATCGGCATTGGAGCGAAACGATTGTGCGGTTCTCTCTGGATCATTTCGGATGGGTTCATTGTGCTCTAGATGCTTCAGGATTTATGGTTGACCATTCTTCGTTCTGGGACCACCTAAGCCACAGCAGATTAGACAGCCCAAGGAACCATGCCTGGATTGCGGTGTATCTTAGTGTGTTGGCCGTAAGTTCCCGTCAGGCTAGAGAAAGCTCAAGGCTCATTTTTCGATAGACAGGAGTATATTTTATGGGAGAGGACAATATTTGCGAGGTCCGCTTTCTCCAAGAGTCGCTCCCTTCTTACAAGCCATCGCTCCTAAGCAGAGTACCCACGGAGCTATGCCGTACCTGGTGCGAAGCCGCTCTGAAGGAGCTCAACTATGCCAACTACTTGAGTAAGCCCAGTATTTCGACTGTACAGACACTGGTGATTTTGAATATCGTACACAAGAATCTTGGCGAGTCATCTCGCGAATATACTCTACACGGTCTTGCGGTCAATATTGCCCGCTTGATTGGAATTGATCGTCTCGGAGGACGTCACGAGCGACAAAATACCTCGCCAGTAAAAGACACAGGGCTCATTCGGAAAGATGAAAACGTTTATCGCAGGCTTTGGTGGACCTTGGTGATCTGTGACTGGTACGTCGTCTGCTCATTTTGTGTTGGATTTCACTAAGCTAAGCTCAGGATGACTGTATGGTCGCGTCCAATTTCCATACACCCGGACTCCTTCACAACCGTGCTAGAAACAGAAGATAACAAGGAAATTTCTCCCACTTTACCTGGTGGCGAGAAAGTCCCATCCCCATATGAGTACCATAAAGCAATGGCCCAGCTCGCCGCCACCATGCAGAATCACGCCAGATCCATCAAAGAATGGACGACGGCGACTGTTCAAGCCTCCTTTGAGGAGCTCGACGCTGTAGCTTCTTCTTTTCCACCACATCTCTCTTACCCTGGAACCGATGAACCCATGCTTCAAATCGAACAAGGGTTTGAATGGATCTATGTTCAACGCTACCTGATCTTCAATTGCTTGGACTGCTGGCACATAAACCTGTGCGTTGCTCTAATACCCCATTTACTCAGCAGCCCCTCTAGTACAGAGAGTGATGTGCAGCAGAGCGGCATTTCATGCGCGAAAGCGATTCTGTCTCGGCGATACCATGATCCATGTCCCCATTTCCATAAGTTCTGGGCAACAACATGCTCCATTGTCACGGCTGCTATATTTCTGGCTCTGGATCTAATATGTTTTCGCCAGCACCGATCATCTGCTGAAGTGGCCGAAGAAAAGGCTTTGATATTGTTCGGCATCTATCTCCTGGAGCGAACATGTACAGATACACGACACGACGCCTTAGTTGTTCTGCGCCGCCTTGTTGAGCTATCTGACGTTATACGATCGAGACAAGTTATCGACCAGAGGGTGTTCGTCCGGCTCATGAAGCTTGTCGCTTCTCCCAAATTATGGGATTCATTTCCCGGTACAGAGGTCACGTTGAGGTTTCTATTTGCGGACCCGTCGTCGACCGGAGAGGCGACCAAGTCGGTATCAGACAATGACGAGCAGCTGCAAAGTGCGGATCCTAGTCCCGCTACGTATGGAGATATACTACCGAACACTCTAAGCCGGTTTGCGACAATGACCGGTGAGACAGGAGACGAATTCCCACTCGCAGATGATCTCTTTTCATCTGAGCTCATAGACATGTCGCTCCCCTGGCTGGACCCTGGGTGTCTAATGACATTTCCAAATGAGGTGTCCCTCTAATAGAGTGCACTATAGGCTTGATGTCTGTTTACAGTCACCAATGCATCGGCACTTGTATATACTGCATCCAGTCTCAAAGTCACATCACATAGCTAGATCATACCAAAAACCATTATCGAAACAATACTACACATCCCGATCAAAACTCCGCAGTCCTCCCATCAACCGCATACTTCATCGTAACCCTCCTAATCCACCACCCAAAGAAGAAAATCGGAATCCCCAGCGCAGACACAACACCCGCAATAATCGCACAAATATTTAGAGCACCCTGAAACCCCTGCTCGGTGATAAACTTCGTAACCCCAAATGAAATCCCAAACGAGATGAACCCACGGATGGCACAAATCAGAACCAGAATCGGCGCTGCCCGCTCCGCATAACTGTCCAGAGAATAAGTGTACCCACTAAGAATGATTCCAATATAGGCAAAGTATATCCCGCTAAAGGTAGTGGTGATTGCCCAGGGAGACCATTCCGTCGGATGAGATGCAGCACGGCCGAATATGACGCACGAAATAAGCAGGACGATAATAGGCAAGAGCATAGGGATAAGTCGAATCTCAGACTCAACGGTGCCGCTCTCTCGACGCCTTGCGACCAGTTTGTATAGCTGGTCGCCACCGTATCCGAGAACGGGAACCATTATCATTGCGACCACGATTTGTCCACCCTGGACTAGGCCCAGGCTTGTGGTTGGGTAGTTGTACGGAGGGGCGCCGAGGACAGAGGAGTACTCTGTCACTCCGATAACGTAGATTCCGAGGGAGACGCTGTTCATGAGGACTACCCAGAGGATGTTGGGGAAGAGGATGCATTGACCCATTTGCTTGTAGCATGTTAGGGCTTCTTTCCAGTTTGCGGGTGGGTGCATGATGGCTAGAGTATGTTTCCAGGTACGTGCTTTGTAGTTGATGAAGTCTAATGGCACGCGGTTCTTGTTTGTTGCATGAACGATGACTTGTTCTTCGCCGTTGTGGTGGACGTGCACTTCCCCTTCGAAAGCGTCGGTGGGTCGGTCGTAGCGGGATTCAGGCACGAGGGTGAACGCGCTGATGAAGACTAGCCCGCTGGCGATGGAGAATACCCCGTACCACCATCTCCAGCCGAGGCTGCTTACTAGGTAGGACGTCGCGATGGTGAGGGCGGCTGTGCCGATGGATTGGATCGCGCTGAACCAGGCGAGGCGGCTGCTGCGTTCGTGGACGAAGTGGATTTCCTGGTAACCTTGGTTAGGGTCCCGGCTTGTGAAGTGTAAGGTGTAAGGGGTCGGTAATGGGGATGTACCTGGATAATAAGCGGACATAATGCCTCTGACTGCCCTGCTGCCAACGACAACACGTCTCTGCCCGCTATATGCGATGAAAGACTCGTGCTCGCAGCACACCAGATAGATCCCACGGTTAGGACCAATGCAGATGCCAGGAATACTGGGCGTCTGCCGATTGCCATGGCGAGTGGCATAGCGATGACATTACCGATCCCCATGAAGAGGGTTGGGTAGGTCATTAGATCATCGGTGTGGGGGTTGTAGTCGTAGTAGGATTGCATTAGAGTGACGAAGGGGCCCATTCCGGAGGTCATCAGGACCCCGAGGACGGAGACTGGTATGATTGTGTTAGATGGTGTCTTGGTTTGTGGGACAGGGGAGGAACGGAGGCGTACACAGTCCCAGCACGAACGTGATTACCCATTTTTGCCATTGAGGGTAGTTCAAGGGGTCTGTTCCACTTTTCGTCAGTTATATAATCTTTTAGAACAAATTGAAGGAAGTCGAACCTCTTGGATCTGGAGACGGCGTCGGAATCAACACTATTTCCCCATCCTCGACTAGTTTCACTGTGCCGGTTGGGTTACTGGTCTTGCCATGACGCTTTAGGGATTCATCCATAGCAAGTTCATGGTGCGTTGCGTCGATGTCCTTGTCATCCATATTGCTATGTGTAGACATTTGTCTTGTGCGTGTAGGAGCTGTGGTCCTACCACAATTTATCAATAATAGACCAGGGAGGGATGGACTCAGCACCGCTTCCTCCCGGCCTTCATATGCTGTCCATCCTGACGCTATCCACTACCCCGTGGGGTAGAACATATCTGCGTAATGGGGTCTAGCTCATCAGCCACATCGTGTCCGAGCGTGAAGTTGGCGTGAAGACGTGGAGCCGAAAGTATGTTTTGATGGAAGATGATGGTGAAGAAGTGAGGGAACCAGCGAGATGGGAGAATCTCGCCCGAGCTCACCCGGGCGGAGGTGCGCGTGCCGCACGGCGGCAATGAACGACATTGCCGTAACCGAATTGCGAAAACTGATCACATTGACAGCTCCCAGGTAGGTGTTAGGTGTGATTGATGGGTTGGATATGGCTTGTTCAAAGTCGTGGGGAGGTTTGTGTAGTGCTATAGATAGCTGGGTGTATATGCAGCGTTCCGCACAGTAAACACTTGTCTCGCATCAGAAGGCTTACGATATCATCATAGTGCAGTCATAGCAAACGCAGTGAAATTGTAAGATAACTAATACTACAAGCTGCTAGTACGGCTTCACACCTGCCAACTGCAACAATCTCTCACTTCTCACCGGCTTGGTAAGAGGTTCGTCCCTCTCCAACGGATCCACAACTTCCTCCCCATCCACCTTCACCATCGCCTTCCCATGTGTATACAAATTCGTGTGCGGCCAGTGTGTAGTTGTTTCATACGCCTCGAATAATTCCTTCTTCTTCTCCCGATCCTCCTCGCTCATCCATGCCGCCGGCGTATACGTAGCATAGACGATAGTGCGCACCAGATCCGAGGTCCCGAACTGAGCCCAGTGCATCTGTCTCGAGTCCCAGAGAATCAAGTCTCCAGGTTCAGCGCAGACCTTGATCAATTCGCATCCACGCTCGCGGTACCAGTCCAGATCCTTGTCAGAGAAGGGGTGGAAATCCTTATGTTTGGCGGTGCGCCAGGGGGTGGGACCAGTAACGGGGTTCTTTTCAAAGAATTGGTCAAAGAGCGCTGCAGAACCCTTCATTACTATGAGTCCACCGTCGTCGGGGCCCGCGTTGGAGAGGTTGACGATGCCCTGAACACAGACCAGACCTTTGCGCTCGGGCGCTTGGTCGCAGTGTGGCCAGGGCTGGGAGTCATAGGTGCCTACGATGGATTGAGGGAGAGTAATGTTCACCGTGTCGAAGGAGACCACGAGCTCGTCGGTACCCCAAAGCTTAGCGAAGGGAGCAATCACGCCAGGCTCACTGTAGTCGTTCTTTAGCGAGATGGATCCCAGAGAGAGAAGGGAGAGAGAGGCGACTTACCATCGGACGTCCCAGACATACTTCTCGTGTGCAGCCGAGAAGTGCAGGTACATGCCACCCTTCCAGCTCTGTGGGAGATTTTCCTTCTTCCAGGTGGACTTGTCGTTGCGGTCAAAGCCAAGGCCGAATGATTCAAGCCAGGTCAGGGCTTCGCTCTGGTATTCGCTAGCGCGCTCTTTGCTCAGCACGCCTTTGATGACAGCATAACCGTCACGAAAGAAGTCATCACGGAAGTCACCATAGTGAGGCTGCTGTGTTTGGATGGACTGAAGCTTGCCCGGGGCAGGGGATGGGATGGGCTCCGGAGAGTCGACACGGGAGGGTGCCATGTTTAGAGCTCCTTGATTCCTTAATTGTTGACTTTAAGATATCAAGTACAGACTCTTCAGATGGAAGAAAAAAACGGTACTTTGAGAATTAACAGTTTCGGTGACGTCGAGGGCCTCGGCGACAGAGGAGCTTTTGGGCGCTTTTATCCTCTAACTGGATTTTCAGCCAGGTTAATTGACCCGAAGTGATCCCTTAAGCACGGCCGAGCCCATCCTCATCCGAGATATAAAACGCCACTCCCATGACCGAGTCACTGTAGCCGAACTCATGAATTGCCGAATGGTCAGCAGGTTCGAAACGAACATACAAACTCGCCCGAGCTCGGCCGTGCTGGGGTATAGCCGCAACAGAAGATCCGACAACGCGCTATGTCCACAACCCGACAATCTGAGGAAAAAGCAAAAGCGAACATTGGTTTATAACTTCACTCTTAGTACTCAGACAAAGAAATAGTGGGGGGCGCGTGGCATTGTTCATAAGGAGCTCGGAATCTCTGACATTGTCGTCTACACTGCAATCAATACTTTTCAATATGCCTTCTCCGGTACCTGTTGCGACTCGTCCAATTGACAAGCCCACCGTGGGCAGAAACAACTATCAGCCGTTTGGGTTTCGTGAAGAAGTCCTACCCAAGGGCTGGAACAAAGATGGCTCACGTCCCTTGCCATGCGACATTCATGCGTCCCACGACGTGGGTATCCAGGTTCGCGATGGAAGCACATTATATTGCGACATCTATCGTCCTACAGACACCACCAAGCCTGTGCCCGCCATCTTAGCATGGAGCCCTTTTGGGAAGAAGTTCAATGGAATTACCATGCTGAAGTTCCTCCCTTGGGGTCTAGGGATCCCTCAAGGCGTACTCAGCGGCTTGGAGAAATTCGAAGGCCCTGATCCAGCTGAGTTCGTGCCTCGCGGCTTCGCAATCATCAACGTGGACGCCCGTGGGTCTGGTGATTCAGATGGCACAGTTGGCATCATGGGCACCCAGGAAGCCGAGGACGGTTACGACGTGATCGAGGCCGTGGCTAAGATGCCCTGGTGCAATGGAAATGTTGGCCTGGCAGGAAACTCACACTTGGCCATCATTCAGTGGTTTATCGCTGCGTTGCAGCCGCCATCACTAAAAGCTATTGCTCCTTGGGAGGCATGCGGTGACCTCTATCGAGAGCAATTTGTACGAGGTGGCGTCTTCGATGCTGGTTTGTTTGATTTCATCATCGATCATAATATCCAAGGCCACGGGGGTGTGGAAGACTTTCACGAGATGTATCGACGATATCCATATGCGAACAGCGCATACTGGAAGGATAAACGACCAGACCTCAGCCAAATCAGCATACCCGCTTATATTACAGCCTCGCACACCAGTTTTGTGCACACGATGGGATCACTGCGCGGATGGCTTCAAACTCAGTCGTCCGATAAATGGCTGCGACTTTGTCCATGGCAGGAGTGGTACGATATCTGGAATTGCAAAGAATCGGCTTCTGAGCTCGCATCCTTTTTCGATTGCTATCTGAATGGCACCGACAATGGATGGGAAAAAACACCCAGGGTACGGACTACCATGTTGCGATTCAATCAAGATCCGCTCTACAACATCGCAGAGGAGGACTACCCGATCCCACGCACCGAGTATCGCAAGATGTACTTTCACCCAGAAGGCCATCTCAGCCACGACGCTCCCAGCACGGCTTCATCGGTGTCATACAACTCAGAGAAATACCAAGACTGTGCGAGCTTCACCCACACTTTCACCAGTCGAACGAGGTTAGCGGGTATTCCCAAAGCAGTGGTGTACATGTCGTGTCCAGACTTCCATGATCTCGACGTATATGTTTTGATCAGGAAGCTTGACGCGCAAGGAAAAGCTCTGCTCAATCTCAACATTCCGTGGTCATCAATAGCGAAATTTGGTGTCAGCCCAGACAGTGTTGACAGCATTTCTCCGCGGGAAAAGGGCAATCTCATGTTCCATGTTGGGTCCTTGGGGATCTTGCGGGCTTCACGTCGAGCCATTGATCCGACCAAGTCAATTCATGAGAATTTCCCCTTTCACCCACATGACCGTGACGAGTACATCACTCCTGGAGACATTGTGAAGCTCGAGATCGGCATATGGGCGATGGGAGTGGAGTATGAGGCAGGGGAAAGCGTACGCGTCGAAGTACATGGAAACAGTCCATTGCTACGGGGAGAGTTCAAAGAAGATGGGGAATTCCAGGAACTGGCATCACATGGAACACACGTGCTTCATTTAGGGGGTGAATATTCTTCGCATATCGTTCTGCCATTCGTATGACCGGGCATGATGCGTCAACTACAGCAACTTAGACACTTAGACAGATAACTTAACTTGCAGATAACCAAGCTACTATCACGCATATATTGTTATCAGATCTTCCTGAATTGGTTGTTTCCTAACTAATAAACATGGCCTGGGACGATGCAGTAGAGCCCAATCATAGGCGCCATCAGCACCAATAAGGGTCATAAAGCACCGCCGCTCCCCCAGGCATAACACCACCAAGTAATGTGTGAATCAGAGATGCCTTAATCGCGTCCGTTAAGTAACAAGGTTGGTGTGCCGAACGCCTATTTCATCCCACTCTCAACCAGAACCCATCAGCCCTTTAGCCCCGAAAGGAGAGCCAGAAGGGCTCCAGGAAGAGAGATGGATTCATATAGAACACACTAGGCTTTCATCATCTGCAGTACCATGTTAGTAAAAGGCATACTGGGAGTCAAAAGTCAAAGGTAGCACTCACTTTTACAAAACTTGGAAGGATGAAGAGGGAAGAAATGACGGCGCCGGAAATTTTGCTTTTAATTGGCAGTGTGGAGGGCGCTAGACCTGTCATAGAAGGCGGCGTACCATATTCTGCCCAGAATCTCCGCCCGGCGGTGCCTGGCAATTTCCCAATTGCCCGATTAGTTCATCGGCCATTTGAAGGCATCGTGCCATTGCATCCCCGCCTCAGGGCAATTGGAAGTTTTGTGACTGTCCTCTTCTGCCTCATTTTCCAATTCACGGGCTGGCTTGCGCAGCAAGATGTATCTCGCCAGGGCGGTCCGATGCCCCCCTCACCTCCGCGCGACCTACGTTGAGATCTCCAACTACTTCCGCGGCAGGCAACTTGGTCGCCTTTCAGTATTGCAAGCTCACAGCTCCCCCGTACGATCATTCCATGAATTCAGTGAAAAACACCGCTCCAATGTGACCTCGTCGGAGTTTCTAGATAAGTTTAAGCAGTCGAGTTCGTCACCCTGCCGACCAATGCACACCCTCCGGCATTTCCAGCTCATACAAGCAAGTTGCAATCGGGAAATGCTAACATCCCGTCTTCAAAGTGGAATTCCCCCAAACGCCCTTGGACATCGACACTCTGTACTCTTATGATCACGAAGGTCAATCCGTACTCCTCCATGGCTACCTGGACAAGCGCGACGACATGGGGAAAGAGCTCTCGTTCGCCCGCTTTTACGACCACACAATGGGTCGTACCATACAGCTTCTCTCAAACTCACAAAGCAATACACTGCCTCAGCTGAAGAAGATTAGTCGGGGTAGTCCAGTGGTTGTTCAAGGGACAGTTAAGCGGAGGGTTACAAAGACTGCCGACGAGGAACGCAACGATTACTTGGAGATCGCGCTGGAATCGATTCAACCCCTAAACGAATTTCCCCGTGAGATTGTGCTTTTCGGAAAGAACATCGTTCACCCCCCTAAGCATCGCCATCTTCAACTGAGAAGCGATAAAGAGCTGCGCGATGCTCTCCGGTTCCGTGCGCAAGCGCGCAATGTCTGCCGGGAGACGCTGGAACAGCTGAAGCCAGCCTTTGTTGAGATAGAGACACCTTTGCTGTTCAAGTCGACTCCGGAGGGTGCTCGTGAGTTCATCGTGCCGACCAGGAAGAAGGGAAAGGCATATGCCCTTCCTCAGAGTCCGCAGCAATACAAGCAGATTCTCATGGCCAGTGGAATCCCGAGATACTTCCAGTTCGCGCGCTGCTTCCGTGACGAAGACCTTCGCGCCGATAGACAACCGGAGTTTACTCAGGTATGGTCCCAATGAAACTACACAAGTCGCCTGCTGACTGAAAACCCTAGCTGGATCTGGAAATGGCATTCGCTGCTGGACAAGATGTCATTGCCGTTGTTGAGGAACTTATCCGGGGTCTGTGGGGGAACATGATGCCTGAACCAGTCCCTTCAGGCCCATTCCGTCGCATGACCTACCAGGAGGCAATGACTCGGTATGGTTCGGACAAGCCGGATACCCGACATGGAATGGAAATTCATCGTGTCGAGCACCTCCTGCCTGCCGACCTTGTGTCGAAGATCACCCCTCTGACCGAGCCGATCGTTGAAGCATTCAAGATGGATACCGTAGAGCAGCTACCGTCAGCAACTCGCGAATTCGTTTCACGTTTCTTCGACTCCACCGAGGGCGAGCCATTCAACAAGAACCCTGATGGTGCACCAGGAATCTTCATCTACGACGAAGGACAGCCCCTAAAGGGCCTGGGACCTCTCGGATTCGAAGCAGCCGAAAAGGTCCAGGAGATGCTAGATCTCAGTCACGGCGATCTGCTCATCCTTCAAGCTCGCCCTCAAGCCCCTTTTGCAGGCGGCGCAACCCAACTTGGCAGCATCCGTCGCGCCATGGCCGCCGCGTCCATCGCCGAGGATCTCAGAGAAGCGCCCCCGGGCTTCGAGTTCCTCTGGATAGTCGACTTCCCTCTTTTCAGCCCTACGGATGCCTCCGAACCCGGCCAAGGCGGTACTGCCGGCCTCTCCGCTACTCACCACCCCTTCACGGCCCCGAAGACCTCTTCGGACGTCGACCTCCTCAGCAAGGACCCCACTAAAGCCCTCGCAGACCACTACGACCTCGTTGTCAACGGCGTTGAACTCGGCGGCGGTAGTCGCCGTATCCACTGTGCCTTGACCCAGAACTATATCTTCAAGGAAATTCTCAAGATGCCCAAGGAGCGCATCGACGAGTTCCAGCATCTCCTCAATGCGTTGTGGGCTGGATGTCCTCCGCATGCCGGGTTCGCGCTCGGCTTTGATCGGCTCATCACTGTCATGTTGGGCAAGGAGTCGGTCAGAGATGTTATTGCATTCCCGAAGATCGGAAAGAAGGGCGAAGATGCCATGGTCAAGGCGCCTGGTAAGATTAGTGAGGAGGTAGCGAGGTTGTATAATATCAAGTTGAAGTGATGTTGTGGTAATGCATTGGGTGTATGTATGTATTCTATGGGTATTTCTTGTATGATAGATAGATTAACGATTCTTCACTCTGTATCTATTTTGTTTCTAGATTCCAGAGCTCTCGATGTGATCCCCACGGGCTGACATAGAACAGCAAATGTGCCTTTCAGATAAGACACGAGTGAGGTAAAGTAATGAGAAAAGCCGAGCATAAACACATGGAGTTAGGAAAGGAAAAATAATTCAGAGTAGTTGCTGTTATACAAAACGCCGACCAAAACGGGAATCTAATACATCCATGAAATACATAGAAATCAATGGTGAGTGATGGGGAGTTCGCTATAGCCTCCCTCATGTTCTATATTTTTCTCTTTCTCATTCATTTGATTTCGGTCGAAACAGAAAGGCGGTCATACCGCACGAGTCGCCACTGACTTGGAGCGCGAGGCAGCCATAGCAGCACCAGTACCTTCCTCTTCCTCATCAACATACACATACTCATCATCTAGCTCATCTGGCTGTCCGAAGATCTGACGCCATACACCATCCCAAAGACCCTTCTTAGTGACGAGACCACCCACCAGCAGAACTGGGAGCTGCCAGATACTAGCCCAGAAGAGACCTCTCGCCGTTCCGTTGGCGCCCTGGTGCTTCCAGAAATGGTACGCCTCCTTCACCAACCACGCATTGGCGACTGAACTGCTAACCAAGAATCCGTGGCCGACGACTCCGACCCACCAGAGGCCAATGGAGATGGGGAACATAAGGACGGAATAGCGCAGCGCAACGCGGGCGTTCATGGCGGGGTTCTTCCAGCAGAGCATCTTGTAGCCGGCACGCTTGTACTCCTCGCGGATGGTATGAGACAAGGCGTTGAAGTGGGGGAATTGCCAGGCAAACAGAATACCTCCAAGCAGCCAACCACCGATGCTGTCTTGGCTGAAGAGCATGTCGCGCCAGGTATCGTGGCCCGTAGTAGCGGTTTGGCCGGCAGCAGCGACCCAGCCCATCAATGGGGGAATACCGCCTACAATGGCGCCGACCCATGTGTTGATGACGTGAATACGCTTGAGCGGGGTGTAGATGAAGCCGTATAGGATGATGTTGCTGGCTGAGAGGGCCGCGACGGTGGGATTGGTGCCGAAGTAGAGCATGCCTACACCGGTGAGGGCTGTCGCGAGAGCGAAGAGTACGGCAGCACGGCGAGAAAGGAGGCCGCGAACGAGAGGCCGGTTGCGGGTGCGCGACATGAGAGCATCGTACTTCGGCTCCAGAAACATGTTGATGGTGTTGGCGCTGCAGCTGGAGAGGAAGGTGCCCGCCGTCAGGTAGAGGAAGGTTAGGGTTGAGGTGGAGAGGGTCGGTAGCGGGGTCATGGACGGGTCGAGCGTAAGGAGGGACGAGATCGGATACAGGCCATAGGCGGAGGTTGTGCTCAGCACGATGAGGACGGAGAGACGAGGCTTGCAGAGGGCGAGGAATGCCGCCATCTTACGGCGGAGGGAAGAGGTGGGCTGAGCGGAAGAGAAGGCGGATAGCTGTGCGGAGGCATCGGGGGGAATGACATGTTCAGAATCGGCGGCTTGGGCATTCGCTTCTTCCTTTAAACGCTTCCTCCGGCGATGAGGGAGCTCTGGTTGTGTGGAATCGGGGGCAGACGTAGAGGCATCGACGCGGTGGTCTGATGGGAGAGTGGAGGATGTCGCGCTGGAGGAAACATTGCCGCCGGAAAGCGAAGAGACAATGTCACTCTTGCTCGGAGTGCCGTCTTCTGCACGATTGGCCGAGAAATAAGTCTTATTCAGAGCCGACTGGGCGGCATGGCCGTCTGCAATGCCCGAGTGGGATCGAAAGGACGAGGTGAAGGTGCGGAGAGCGGCGGGGAAGGTTCGAGGGGTCCGATTTCGATGTAGAAGACATTGAGAGCATATCCTGCTAGGATCGCCTGGCGACCCTATCCTCCGCAACGAGGAGCGAAGGAGACTCATGGCGGAGTCCTGCTGTGGTTCTGGTCGACCAAGAATCCGTATCCAAGCAGCGGAAGTTGAAGCACAAGCCGCAAGACGAAGAAAAGCCACGGTGGGCGGAAGCGACCAATCCCGCAATTCCGGAGATGCGTTGGTTCTTTGTTGGTCTTTTTTTGTTGTCCTTGCGTCGTCCGCTTCTTTTCTACTCAACCACCTCCCCGCTGACTTCGCCGGACCTCTTGCTTCAATCCCACGGTCCCTATCTCCAGTCAACATGGACGCGATCCAGAAAACCGTCATCGATCCCCTCCAACCTCTCCTCCGCCCCGTCGTTTCGGCTCTCCCCGAACCGGTTCACGATGCGATCGTTTCGCTGATCGGCTCCTCCTGCCACAACAGCCTCGTGGTCGATCTTGACGTGAGCAAGGATCCCGCCTGCACCTCCCTTGCAATCTCGAAGGCTCTCGGTATTGCCATCGTCGGAGCTAGCGGCATCGTCAAGGTGCCCCAGATCCTCAAGCTCATCAGCTCCCGCTCATCCGCTGGTGTTTCCTTCGTTTCGTACGCCCTCGAGACCGCCAGTCTTTTGATTACGCTCTCGTACAGCGTGCGCAACCAGTTCCCCTTCAGCACCTTTGGCGAGACGGCTTTGATTGCGGTACAAGATGTGGTAGTGGGTGTGCTGGTGTTGACATTTGCGGGCCGGTCTGCGGCGGCGGCGGCGTTCATTGCCGTCGTGGCAGCCAGCGTGTATGCACTGCTCTTCGATCAGACCCTGGTGGATGCGCAGACAATGTCTATGTTGCAGGCTGGAGCTGGAGCTCTGGGTGTCGCGAGCAAGGCGCCTCAAATCTATACTATCTGGCGTGAAGGTGGCACTGGCCAGCTGAGTGCTTTTGCGGTAGGTGCATCTCATTACGTTGTCGGTGATCGTTTACTAACGCACGTTCAGGTCTTCAACTACCTCGCCGGTTCCCTCTCTCGCATCTTCACCACCCTCCAGGAGGTTGACGACAAGCTGATTCTGTACGGCTTCATCGCCGGGTTCACTCTCAACCTCATCCTGGCCGGCCAGATGCTGTACTACTGGAACAGCCCGGCTAAGTCCCAGAAGAAGGAGAAGCCTGTTGCAGCACCTACGCCCGTGAAGGCGCCAGTCACCGCCACCAGCTCGGGTGTGTCGCCCAAGCCTTCAGGCAAGACGCCGACTACTCGACGCCGGGGCTAGTCACCTTCTTGGTTACTTTGCACCAATTCTCTTATAGAAATCTTTAATCATTTTTTCCCTGCTACAAGCATTGCAACGTATTAGACATCACCGCTGTCCCGGCACAGCCCCCGTAGTCATAAACCTCAGAATCTCATCCAAGGGCACCACCGGCGCAACCACCTTAGCCCCCGCACCAGCATTAGCCCCAGACCCAGTATTCGCAGCAGCAATATCAAACTCCAACCCAGTTCCAGCCCCAGACCTCCTCCTCACCCCGACAACCTCCATCTCATCCGCCTCGCCCTCTCCCTCTTCACTATCACTCTCATCCTCATCATCATCCTCCAACACCCTGCTCAAACCCGTGACCACCTTCTCAATCCCCATCTCCCGCTCCTCCAACGTATAGTTCCCACCCCAATTCCTCTTCCTAGCCTCCTCATTTGCCGCGACAGGCGCCCAATCCCACAATTCAGCAATCGCATCATCACTCAGCAACCCCTGTCCACTGTTGCTCTGATATTGTCCCAGCGCTCCAGCCCCAGTATCAGAAGACGTAGTCGGCGCCCCGGCGCGACGACCACGCGCTACCCAGTCCTCAACGCGGGGGTCTAGTTTCGTGCGCAGGACTTGCTCCAGAGCGACATTGTTGGCGGGGACGCGCGACGGGTAGGATGCGTCCGGGTAGGCGACGATGTTGGATAGTAGGTCGCGGTTATCGGAGAGGTGGTCGGAGATGGTGAGGAGATTGTTGGAAATGATGGTTGCTTGGGATTGCAGGGATGTCCTGTTCATGTCATTGTATCAGTGAGTTGGTCTTGGCTGGGCTGTATAAAGTCAACATCGGTGGGATGTATACCATGAGGGGAGAGGATCGCTTTGATTCAGACTGGTTATGAGGGAGGCAAGGGAATGGGTGAGTTGGATGAGTCGTTGACGGGATTGTTCGAGGGTTTTGATTTGGTCTGGGTTGAGAGAGGTCATTTTGTTCGTGTGAGGAAGGAAGGGGCAGCTTGGAGAGGTGTGATGATAATATTGAGGGTTGGACTGATTGGAGATGGGAGATCGGCGACAAACAATTAAGCAGGTGGGCATTGAGCTACCTGATTGGAATGGCGGAGATGTCCGCGGAGAGGGTTGGTGCCTGAGGTGTCGCGCGCTTTGGTGTGTTTACTCGTGATCTATGGTTCATGTTGGAACCTTCATACACACGTTCCTTACCGAATAGGGCCCCAGTAGTATGAGTTACCACCTATTTGATGTCCTTTTAATATTCTATTTGGTGATCAAGATGGATTTTGATTAGAGGTTTCAGTATCTTTGTTCTACGTTGATGATGTCCCGCTTAACAGGATAGGTATGTATATGAGGTGGAATCATCTCCAGCCTCGTTACTTGCAATCTCTCTCGCACCTATTTTCTCCTTCCTGGTATTATAGTATCTAGCTACATTTGAGATGAAAGGCATACGAAACTTCAGTGCCATGAACTGCTCCTTCACTAGGCAATTTCCGTTCGTCGGTTATATATATATTTGACGCTATCACGTTCCTATCTTCAACTACCCATATTCACACTAATCCTCCACCTTCTACAGAACTTGAATCTTCAATGGGTCATTCCTTCAGAATGGAACGCCTCCAATTGAGCACCGAATTTAACAATTCTGACCGCCAGTCAAAGGCATTCCCTGAGGCTCAAAGCCTTGAAGTCCAGAATCTACACTGTTGTCCGGGAAAATCCCAATAGAAGCAAACCCGAAAGTCGCATGGTTGGCTTGGTCATACATCTGGACGGACAACACATTGCCCTCATTCCACTTTGTACCTGCAAAACACTCAACCTGGCTTTCGATTTGGCCAAAGGCGTCGGCTCCATTGAAAGTGATATCGCCCGGGTCAGCGCTAGAGGCATCAGAATCAAACCGGCCCTCCATCAAGTGCTCGTTAAGCCGCTCATGCTTGTAAAACTCGTCGCGTTTCTCCTGGGTTGCGTGGTGGGTGGGATGACCCGCGTAGGAGATGGTAAAATGCACACCATTTTCGCCGGTATCACGGGAGGTGAGCTCCATTGGGCCATATTTGTGGTGATTAAAACGGAACATTGGCGCAAAGGGATGGACACTGGAGTCACGGCGGGCCAACTTATGAGAATCGGGTGCGTATCCGACAAAGTCCACTTCATCTGTTGACAGGCTGCGCAATGCGTTATGAACGAAGTGATTGTGGGCCTTTTGTGAAGTCATATTTCTGGCCGGCAGGCTGTCCAGGTCCCGCGAAAAGGTTTGCAGGTCAATCTGTTCGAGACCGGACTGCAGCCAGGCATTTGCGGCAACCCCCAAGTACCCTTTCGACTCAGCGAACTTCTTGGCTGCGGACACCTCGCCACCTACACCAATGATGGTGCTGCGCAGTCCAGTGATGCAGTAGAAGATATTGTCGGCTTGACCCTCGTTTTGAACGCAGGTATTGATGGTGCTTGCCAGGCCAGCACCGGTGAGAACGAGGTTGAAGGCATGCCATGCTAGACCGATGGCCCAAGGAGCCACCACAAGAGCAACGTCGTCGGTCGTTCTCACATCTGCGCCGGTGGTCACTGCTAGTTCATGGATGTGTTCGGCGGTGCCATTGTGGTTCAGATAGAGACCCTTCCAGTTTTCCCGAGGGCCTGAGTCCAGAGCACTCCAATTGAAGCTCTCTGGGGTCCACTTATCCACAACAGCAACTGCGCAAGTTGCAAGGCCAAAGACAACTATGGGAGACAGAGCGGTCCCAAAAAGGCTGATTCGAACCATTCTGTCAAGGCTTATCGAGACTGCGATACACAAAGAGAAGTTTGATTATTTGGTTGCTTGTTGCTCTGATGCTGGCGAGAATGCCCTCAGGGAGGAGGCCCAATTTATGTCTTGAGCCTGGATTCGACTGCAACTCAATCTATCCCTCATAGCGGAGATTCTTCCGATTTCATACTCAGAAGAACGCAGGAACGAGTCCTGCTCATGCAGTTTCACAGCCCTCAAGATGACCAACACGGGCTATGCACAGATCACCAGCATTCTGATGTAACGCTTTAGGGAATGATGCTTCCTTCGACAAGGAATACTTTGGCCAGGAGGACACGCCCTGTGACGAGAGTTCAACAGCCAATGGTACCTTGACAGCCTGCAATGGTCCATCCCGAACTTTATGGTATCAAACTTGGCAGTTCGACAAGAGCACGGCAATCTGTCCTATCACAAACATTGCAGCAGTCCAGGCTCATCTTGGCCTAATCACCACTCCACATGAACAATTAACGAAAGTTTCCAACCTGATATAATCCTTGCAATGTAAGCTTCGATCCTAGAACATGGCCATACAGATGACAATCGGAATGTTGGGACGGGGCCATTGAGGCTAGAAGGAATATCGAAACTCATCAATGTTCATCCCAACGAATGACGATGACCGTCTTACTAGCGAAACCTGAATACTTACGGATAGATGGGTTGGATCATCCGTATTCGGATCGACGGCCAAGGCTCGTCTGAGGAGACCAAGGAACAAGTGTAGGAGTTGTGCACGAGTTGTCGATTGGTCAATGTGATATGTTGAAGTATCTTGATCAATTTTGACGAACCAAGGGATCCTTGTAAGCAGGACCTCCACAGAAGGATTGCATTCGAAATGCAGGGTCCTGGAGTCGGAAGAGGGCATCCGCAATGCTGATGCCGGTATACCTTCCTTTATTGGCAACTAACTTGTTCGGCATAACACCTCGTGAGTGACACTCGGAGAATGATGGTGTTCAGTCTAGAACTTTTTTTGCTGCAGTCGCACACGGAAACATGGGTCCAACCTTCAGATCGGGTACAACATCTATGCCACACCAGTGTCCAATATCTCTCCTGATGTCACAAACTAGGAACAGAATTTGCCTTGCGTCGTTCCTTTCTCTCACCACATTTGGTGGAGCTATGCTTCTGAAGGTATGCGTTAATTGACTGTATCCAATGCACGCTCCTCAGGTCCACTCTGCCCACATGATGAATCCTCAGGTGGGCCACAGGGCGTCAGCAATCAGATGGCCATGGTGCGGTTGTCAAAGTCTCACAGCTTCACATGAGTTATTTTTCGGTTCTTACTACATCTTAGCCGAGCAGCTAAGCCCTACCAACACAGTAAGACGGTTTGCATGGACGGCCGAGCCACTAAAACAAGAAATGTGTGAGCATTGGACTCCACAGGATTTGGGAGTGTTTAATGGACTTCATTAGTGCTTAATCATACCATGAGAGGGCCTCGAAATCGGAACTTCCTTATCCAGCTAAGCCGAGCAGCCATATTTTCTGACAAATTCCACCGCAGTATCATTAGGCTAGAATGTGACAGAGACGCGTTGATTGAACTAACCTTCATAGTAAAGATCAACAAACGCAAATGGCAGAAATGGGCAATATTCACCATCTAAGGCCCTCCTTGGATCAGCCTTATTAGGGGTCTGAGTCAGATATGGAGAAGATGTCATCATAGTACTTCAGTAAGCGCCCAGGGATCAGCTACGCGAACCGTGATAGGCGGTATCCATTATGCGAGGGCCTTACTACTAATATCCTCGGTCGTGGTAGCGGAGCCTTGTGGCACAAAATCCAGTGGCACCGTTCACATCCTATCTTTCCATCTTCTGGCCATAACGCAAGACACCATGGTTGTTGATCCGGAGAAGACCGCGGCTGGAGAGGCCTCCGAGGCCACACCATTGCTGCAGAAGTCGGGTCCTGTCGTGTCTCCGCAGGCGTGTTATCAACATCAACTACTGCTCCGGTGTTTTTTAAACCTGAAAAACACAGTATCCAAAGCGACGGGTCTATTCAAGGCAGAGTATGACTACGAAATCAAGTCCGAAGTGGACCCGATAGCTCGACAATCCATGGTGGAGGAGCGCCGATGGTCAATCTATACCTCACGGGCTGTTCATCGATATTCCGTTTGGTGGGCTCAGATATTAGCAGATTCGGAGATGTCATCCTGTGAAAAATGTAGTATATCAGAGAAGCCGTGTGCACGCCACAGCGGATGGTCATGGACAGGGGACGAGTTACCTCCATTAGGTAGGCAATTGCAAACCCATCATCGGGGAATGATGACTGACGAACTGGGACGGAAGATAGATGTTCTAATGATATTCCATGCATTGACTCTACATCATAGATCCTTCGGAGAGGACTGCTTTCGACATAAAAAGATGGCACTATGGAACGAAGGGTTCCCCCTCCAGCTAGTCTCACAATGTATCGAACCGGATAACCTCACTTACTCGTGCCCCGAGTCCTGCAAACTGCACTTCGAAGGCATGACAAAGTTGGCTTGGGACAATGTTGATGACTCTGGTGGTGTGTCTATTGAATGCCCTCGATGTCAGAACCAAACCGTTGTGCCGTGGTCGACGCGGCGCAGAAAAGGCCTTGCAGAGGAATTGTTGCAATACTGCCAATCGTGCAAATATGGTCTCGGAAACCACGTTCTTGTTGTCCGGAAGCTTCGTCAAGACTTATATCTACTGCTGCGTAGAGATCTTCCATTGCCAGGGACCTGCTGGAGCGTGGAGGAAAAGCACGGCATTTTGACTCCTAACAAGGCACCAAATGAGTTTGTCAAACGATACCTCATGAGCATGCTTCTCGAAGAGACGCGCCCAACGAATCTTTTCCCAAATATAAGCCAAACCATCGAATCCCTTGGCCGAACAGTGGTGAAGCCAGCTCTACCTATGATTCATGATATCTTTGAGCACTATCAATATGTGGAGAATTCTTCCTGCAATCTGCGTGCTGCTGTTACGAGGGTGTTGGAGTCGGCATCAGCAATGCAGGATACAAATCTGTCCGAAACTGATTTCGACTCACCACACATGGTGACTCAGTACATCGCGTTCCTGCGAGGGCAAGGCAAGGGGTTCTTATCGGGGGGTCCTGATCTGTCCGAGATAGATTTGACGGATCCTACTATGTGGGTCTGGAGCACGCATTTGCTGACGCCGCGTTCATACTCGGAATTCTTCCGGCGCGTGGGCAATGGTCTGCCCGTAGATTGGCAGCCGCCTCATTCTCCGAAATGCAGTTTGTGCCTTACGATGCGTCCTCCTTCATTTGCTCGTCGGTTCTTCCAGGGACTCGTTTCCTTGTCAGCGTGGAAGGAGTTCATGGAGGCTGCCGCGTAGGATGCTTTATGCGATCTCGCTTCTGCCGGGCAGTGGAAAGACGATTAACTCGATCTCTGTCAGCGAGGCAAGAGATAACAGGATATGCTATCATAAATGGTATGAGGTCAACATCAATTCATCTTGTAAAGGAATAAATACTGAAGATGATAGCCCAATAAGTTGGTTGGTACGCCCAAACACATATTCGAATTATTCTTGGTATTTTATCAGTCGACTAGTCTTCCGTATAGCGATAGTCATAACCAGGTTTATGGTGTGATATACGTGAATGTCCCAGGCAAGGCCACATGGTCTCCTTGTTCATCAATCTCATTTACCCCAACTTCCACCCCGCAGATGCCGTCCCAATCGACACAGACCCCCGAATCCTCCAATAATCGCTTCTCGCTTGATATTGCTCATACGGCCTGTGCCGATGCAGTACCCCACACTCTACCCTTGCAGCAACCCCAGGTCTCATGTTTGGCGTCAGGGACTGTGGGGGATCGTCCTCCACCCCGGCTCCTCATCCCGTATCCATTGCCGCAACATATTTTCCGCAGAACGTGATGTTACTATTGGTAACAGACAGCGCATGGACATTGAATATAGCCAGATTGTGCCATTCAATACCTTGTGAGAAGGTATTTACCCGAACAACTGCCGTTGTTCAGTTCCGACAGAAATGACGACGGAAGTAGTATTTAAAGCGCAGAGACGTACGAGTATGATGCAGGCAGAAAGACTTTTGGAGTCCGGCATCGCAAGCTTGCTTCGTTGAAAATGACGGAATTTCTCAGCTTTTTGGTGCTTTTAGGTGCAGCTGGCAGCAGCCAGCTCGCTTTCGCTTCGCCTGTCACGCAGAAAGCCGAGGCGACAAGGGCAACTTCACACTCCTACAGCTCGTTTACCTACACGCAGGTCACTTCAACTCGCTATGCTACTTCACTGAGTTCACCGCTGTCTTTTGCTACACCATTCGCTCCAGCATTTAGTGAAGCATCAACCTTGCTTCCCAGCAATGTGACCTATACCACATACTCTTTGCAGTCAAGTCAAACTGCCTCCCCTGACGGACAGTATGGTCAGAGTGCGTATGCTGCATTGTGGGCCAACCTGTCGTATACGTCGGCGCCCCCAATCACAACTACCGTCTCCCCTACGCCGGTTCCCTCCAGCGAATTAGTGTACCCTCCTACTCTGTACAACAGAATCGACTATGCAGATTTGAAGCTCCCATCGGACTTCATCTGGGGCGTCGCAGCCAGCGCATGGCAGATAGAAGGAGGCCTGAAACTTGAAGGCCGCGGCCCGTCTATTCTGGACACCATTGGTGCTATTCAGAGTGACGACAACTCGTCCGATGCCAACATCGCCGACCTGGGCTACTACATGTACAAACAGGACATTGCCCGACTAGCTGCTATCGGCATCCCTTACCTCTCGTTCAGCATCTCCTGGCCACGAATCGTCCCCTTCGGCGTCGCCGGCTCTCCCATCAACACCGAAGGACTCCAGCACTACGACGACGTGATCAATACCTGTCTTGAGTACGGCATCACCCCCATCGTGACCCTAAACCACTTTGACTTCCCGACAGCTCAAGCTACCGACTACTCCACCCTCACAGACAACTTCCTCTACTACGCGAAACAAGTCATGACCCGCTACGCAGACCGCGTCCCCTACTGGGTGACCTTCAACGAGCCCAACATCGGCATTGGCATTGCCTTCAGCTCCTACAACGACCTCACCCACGTCCTAACCGCCCATGCAGCAGTTTACCACTGGTACAAGGAGGAACTGCAAGGCACCGGCCAAATCACCATGAAATTCGCCAACAACCTCGGCGTTCCTCAGGACCCCTCCAACAGCAGCCACGTCGACGCCGCCCTCCGATACCAAGACTTCATCCTCGGTATAATGGCCAACCCATTATTCCTCGGCGAACAATGCCCTTCCTCTGTCCTCAACACGCCAAACCTCAACCTCACACCACTGACCGACTCCCAAATCTCCACGATCAACAACACCATCGACTTCTGGGCCTTCGACCCCTACGTCGCGCAATTCGCCCTCCCGCCTCCAGAAGGAATCTCCGCCTGCGCAGCCAACTCCTCCAACTCCGCATGGCCCGAATGCGCCAGCCTAACAATGATCCAATCCGACGGCTGGCTCATGGGCGATATGTCAAACGCTTACTCCTCCATCGCACCACAATACGTCCGCCAACAGCTAGGGTACGTCTGGAACACATTCAAGCCATCAGGAATATTGATCTCAGAATTCGGCTTCAACCCATTCGACGAGTCACTAAAGGAGGGCGACGCGCAGCGGTATGATCTGGAGCGTACGTTATACTACCAGGACTTTCTGGGGGAGATGCTGAAAGCGATTCACGAAGATGGGGTGAATGTGATTGGGACATTAGCGTGGAGTTACCTGGACAATAATGAGTTCGGGAGTTATGCGAACCAGTATGGGATGCAGAGTGTGAATCGTACAGATGGGACGTGGGAGAGGATGTATAAGAGGAGTATTTTTGATTATGTGGATTTTTTTCATGAGCATGTTAGGAGATAGCTGTTTAACATACTTGAATTGATTGGATGTTAGGGAGGTGTACAATGCATGCTGAGTACAGAAGGCAGGGTTACTTCCATTTAAAGAAATTATGATAGCTGTCATGTTCACTACTGTCCTACATGGATGTTAATACATTGCACATGTCTTCCAACCTTCCAGATAGTATGGAGTAGGTCCTAATAGTATACCATCCTACACAACATACCCATACAGACTTAATATATCACCCTAAACATGATTCCACCAACCAAAATACCCCACAAGTATTGAAGTATTACTACTCAATTCTACTCTCACCACCACCACCAATGCCTAAAATACCCCTCTACTCCATATATCCATCTCTTCTAAACATAGCCAAGTACACCATTCCAAAGGTATTCAACTAAACTCCTACAGAATTAAAATAGCTGCCTAAGCCCTCCTTCTCCCCCCCCCCCCCCCCCCTTCTTCCCATCCAATAACAACACTAACCCAATCCCGAAACCCATCACATCTTGGCATACAGCTCCCTCCGCTTGGCACGTCACAGCATCATCCAATAACTCTTCACAGATCCATGATATCTTCATCCCGTGTGTGTTATTTTTGGTATATCTGCTTGAACTTGAACTTTTCTTTCATGCTTCTTTCAGAGGAGGCGGGGGGGGAGGAGGTATTGAGTTGAGCTGTGGATGGATGGGCCCTTGCAGGATGCCGAGGGCGGTTATCTTTTCCCTTCTGTGTATTTGTAAACTTTGTCTTTATTTAAGTTGGGGATGAGGGGTATAAAGTACGGGGACAGGTCTTCAGGTTTGTGATTTCTTCTTTTCCCTTCTCTTCTCAGGAGATATAGACGGTTCTGCTCCCTTGGGTGGTGTATATATACTCTTCAATTCATCTGTTCGAACTACAACTCGTTCATCTCTTGATGAGATGGGATCCTTGTTTCTTGTTTGATTGTTTCACAACTTGAATTCGCTTCTCTCATTATTCATATTCATACTCAATAGAGTTTATGTGCACCAGCAATGCGGGGGTATATGCCTCATTATGCACATCAAAACAGAATAACAATGACATGACAGGTACAAAAACAAGGAAATGGTTCATATCCACCGTTTCGCCCACTTTGGTGTTACTTCATCATTTCAATACGCTACCGACAAGTTCTGCGCATCACAGCTTCAACTCCCCCGGATACTCCTGCGACGGACTCTTCCCCTTATCTTCCGACACATTCATTATCACCTTCTTAGAATACCCCACCTCATGAGTGCGACCATCAGTGTCCACGACCTGGAACCCCGAGCCGTACTGCGTGATCTGCTGCGGCTGCGAGTACATCTCCGGCGGTGGGTACTCGCTCCACGGATTCTCCGCCGCCATGGCCTTCCACTGGCGCAACTCCTCGTCCTCGCGCTCTTGGCGCCGCCACCAGCTGATGCCGAGTACACAGCCGATAGTCAAGATGATAAGGAGAATCACGAAACCCATGAGCGGCAGGCCGATCAGAGTTGCCAATTTATAGTTGACCCCGCCTCCGCTGGGCGTGTCCAGCAGGTTGCTGCTATAGGTAGGTAATTGTTCCTGGGCAAAGATCAACGACGGGCTGATCGGGAAGGCTGTTTGGGATGGAACGGGAAAGTGGCAGTCATAGCGGAGGGCTTCGATGACTATTGACCTTCAAGTTAGTCAAAACTCGTACAGAAGAGCTGGGAAACTCACAATTGGCCATAAGCACTTGCGTTTCGGTCAGGTTGTAGCAGAACTCGCAGGTTTCTATCTGATTATCGGCAAACGTGGAGGTGGAGCACCAGGCGCGAAGATTGATATCGTTCGGAGTGAGCAAGTCGAACTCGATCGCGCTGTCTAGTCCTTGGCAGGAAACCAAGCACTGCGACGAGACGCTGTCGACGCCCGCCGGATAACCGTAGACACAGGCGCTGAACGCATAGCGGAGGTTATCTAACCACGTTAACAACAGGTTTTAGATCGCACATGGAGCAGGCTTACACAATCCCCAGTCCACGTCCGTCACCAACGAACTGGGATCGTAGTAGGTACTGTTGAGCGCACACGAGACGCAATCTTTGAAGTTCTTGCCAGTCGTGGTGTCATTATAGGCCGCGTCCATGCAGACAATCTCCGAGGTGGTGGTGTTGGTGGGGTCGTTACAGACATCCCAGCATGGGGAGCCTTCGCTCACGTACAACGCTGTCGCCGGGGGTGCGACGTGGCTGACGAGCAGAAAGGACGCCGCTGCGGCAGCCGCTGCCCATCTCGATGTAGATCTGGGGCTTAGACCCCAAGAACCGAGCATCTTGGTATTTGCTTTGGGTCGATCGAGCGTCGGAGACGGTACGATAACCTCCCAATGCTACCGTTTTATCTTACGACCAAACGAGGGAAGGCTGGAGACAGTGCGGTCGACAGAACCCGCGCCGAGAGCACCGTGCAGCAAGAGGCAGAGAGGGAGCACAACCGGGAATGACACGATGGGGAAAGCGAGGGTAGAAATGTGAAGGTTAACCGGTCCCAACCCAGATAGATCGTCAGTTAAACGGCAGGATCGGTGCCATGGTGTGAATTGATAAAGCAGAGGGCCGAGGAGGGGAGACACCGTTCCGTCCCGGATTGGCAGACATGCCTGCCTCTTGGATGGGGTGAGGAAGATCCAACGAGCTCAGTGAGGAGCAGTAGCCCGGGCGCTTCGAGGGCCTCTCAGAAGCAGCGAAAGCGGGTTGTCTCTGAGGGAGGTGTGACGGTGATTGTGACGGCCAGTGCAGCAACTCCTGCCGCTGCCAGGATGCACGTTCATTGGCGGCTAGTGGCATGGAGCTGCGGGCAAGCCGTGGATGTGATGCGCCGTGATGGCCGCAGATTGGCGGCGAGCTCTGACCTGCTCGCGGGGATGGGCGCTTACTCGCGCCTCCGCATTGGCCCAGGGTGACTGGCTGCTTGCCTATCACATCCACTGCCACTAATTAGCATCCCTGCTCATTTTGGATCATTGCTGTCCAATGAATCCATCAGCCCCTCCGGTGTTGATCGCCCTAACTTAATTGGGGCTTCGAGAGGAGTCGTGCTGCCGCTGTTGGGGCGTAGAGACACTTATCCATAGATTGGGGTCAAGATGACCGTTGCTGTCACCTACGGCGACACGCCAACATACTAGCTGGGAATAATTATCACGCCATGAACGGATTTCCAACAATTTAATCAACCCCAAAAAGGTAATGAGAAAAGTCCACACAAATCAGCCAAAGTATAAACAAGAGAATCAAGGAAAACGCCTCCCGAAAGGAATGAGACGCCACAATGCATGCAGGTTAAATCTTTTGCCCTCTCACGGCTGAATTAAGATTCCCATCCACCCAAACAAAGTAGGCCAGTCCGGCGTAGCTCGGCCGTGACTGCCATGCCCAAAGTCAAGCAAGCATGCACGCAAGTGATATACGCAAAATTCAAAAATCAATCAGAAAGCCTCCCATGGGTCCTGCCCCAGATTCCAGTAGTTATCCGTACAATTCATCATACGACGGCACCATTTCAGGTTGTGTCGGTAAACTCAGCGGCTCTGGCTTGGGGCGCCGTACCGATTTTCGATCATGTTGCGTAGACAGACGGTGTCCCTGCGGTCGCTGGTCGTCCGACGGATTCGAGGGCACCGAAGAGCTGTAGCTGGTATGCTTCGACCCGGCCGTTCCAGGTGCTGACATCGGAGGGTCCATCGTGTGTCTCTGAGCGCTGTGCCGACTACGCATGCGAGATGTTACCGACAAGGGAGGCGATTTGGATGCTTGCGAATAGGCATCAGCTTCTTCTTTCTCGGCTGGATTGTGGTCGCGGGAGACATTTAGAGGAGCGGGCACGGCCACCTCGTCTTCCTCATCTTCAGAGGACTCGTCTGAGCACGACGCATGGTCGCATTCGCGGGGAGAATCCAGGACTTTCGACACGCCGACTGGAGGGCTCTGCTGTTGGTTTTTTCTTCGCATTCGACTAAGTTGTGCATCATAATGGCCGGTAGGAATCGTCATGGCTGAATCCACGGATGGCGCCCGCACATTGGCATCCCCAATGCGGCTGTAACTCCCCAGTCTCGGCGCGGTGGCGGATCGATTGAGTTCTAAGGAGCCATGCCGTCGCTCGTGGTCAGGAGAGGCTGAAGTTGCGCCGGTAGAAGACTGATCCCATTGACTCCAGGACCCACCGTTTGGATAAGTGATGGAGACATCCCCCCATCGCGAGTGCAGCTCTGAAGATAGCTTTCGCTTGCGTCGTAATTTTTGGATGATAGCCGTCATGGTCACAAGAGCGTCCTTTCTTAATGTAGTCGAGCTGGAGCACCCGGGCCCGCGTCAGCATCGACCGCACAGGTCCCTCCAAGAACTCGGAGGAAAAACTAGGTTAAGAAGGATCAAGTCCAACCACGGTACCTTAAAATGTAAGGGCCCGCCGTCTACGGGTTTGATTTAGGTCGGGTGCCTCTGCTTCAGAGGCCCCCACGAGCCGGTCCCGAAGCTGCCTAGAACAGAAAAGTAAGATAGGAACAGGGACCAGACAGCCACCGAAAGACTTGCATGGAAAAGTGTCAAAACGGGGGATTGAACACCGAACAATCGAATCCATCGGCCGAAAGCCGGCTGCATATCGCCCACAGGATGGCAGAAGAAAGACCCTTTCAGGGACCAACGCTGAATTCCTTCAGGGAACGATCCTCAGTGCGAAGAGGGATGAACATCGAAGCCCAGCGAACGGGACGGACGGTGAAAGGCGAGCAGACACTACCTGAACCCGACAGAATGGTTCACCCTCCATCACAGCGGACATTTTGTCGCCCTGGGTGGGGAGGCCCGTCGGGCGTACGCGGCCAGTGGGAGAAGTCTCAGTCAACCGGAGGGGGATCGCCCTTTGTTTTGTGAGCGGGATGACGATTCCGACGCAGTGACTGGTCATGGGAGAGCCTCTGGAGCAGGGAGCAGAACCGGTCCGCGTGCCTGGAGATGGTAAAAGAGGGGAGAGCAGTCGGGAGAATAGCTGAGCGGCGCAGTCAACTTGCAGGCAACCTGCAGCCAGCCTACCGGAGGGGGCTGCTAACAGACTCCGGGAAGTTGGCGACATCCAACCACAGCAGTAGTTGATAGTCCTCCCTTGGCGTGGTCCATCCAGCGGCTGCGAGAGAGATATGGAATGGGTGTGACACAAGGCAATCCTTGTTCTGGGAGATGAATGGACCTCTCAGCGGCTACAAAATGGGCGAGATCCCTGTCGATGTGAGGGAGGGAGCGTGATGAGGAATGCCACTAGTTGTCGTAGTAGCAGTAGTAGCAGCAGCTGGACTCGAATCGACAGCTCGACTGCCGCACCAAACTCCGACGTAGCATTGCTAACCGGGGGGTTGGAGGTCGGAAAATTGATTGGCGCAGAAGCTTCGATGGGAACCAGGGTCTGGAGGAGGAGAAGAGGGGAAGCAGCAGCGACAATCACCGGTTGATCGTCGCGGTTGGGCCCGAACCACCCGTCGAGCTTATCTACGCGCCGTGATGGAGACGGCGCGCGAGGGCCAGTGTAGTGGTCACTTGTCACTTGTCACCGTGCAGCAGTCGAGTCCGGCCGATTGTCTAGCTGCAGTAGAGTGAGACATGAGGGGGAAGAAGATGGTGGGAACGCTGTGGGTTGGAAGAGATGGAAGAGGAGGTGGTGGTGGAGGAAGAAGAAAAGAGGAAGAGAAGGGGGGAGGGAGGGGGTCCCCCAGTGGCTTGCCGCCTTCGGGCTCCTCCACGCTTAATTCTTTGGCAGTCACTCATCAATCTGCCTTGGCTCATCACACCATGCCCGGCACAGTAATTTAGGCCGGAGATATGTAGATGATGAAGAAAGCGATTGTGTGGTTGGGTGGAGCGGGGATCCATCCTGGTTCAGTTCGTCCAGGATGAGGGGAGAAGAGAAGGTGACTTGCAATGAAAAAGATACAATAGTAGCAGGACAGACAGGAATGGAAAAGACAATAGTAGATACGTACCTAAGTCAGTCATATCATTTTCCCATCAATTTCTTCATCCCATGTCTAGTCTGCAATCATCATCATTGTCGTCGTGATCATCGTCATCATCATTAAAGCCATAAACCCAAAACACCTTAACACCCAACAGCACCAACCATGACGCCAACCACCCAACATAGGAACATAAGAAAGACATGACTATATTCAGCCTACCCAAAATTCGTCACCAAGCGTGACAGCACCGGTCTAGGTCGTTGAACCGACTGGCCTTCCTCCGCCTCACCACCTGGCCTGTTGACCGGCACATCCAGCCTCTCCTCGACCGCAAAGCTAAAGGCATTCGAGTCTCGATCTGGCACTCTTCTTTGAGGCTCTATTCCCAATCCTGAAATCCGATACATACTAGCTGTGACCCCAGGATATGGCACCGCGATGCCGACCATGCCATCAACCCCGTGGTACCGAGAGGGGTCATACACAGGGAGGGGCTGATACGCCGGCGGGGGATCCTCAATGACCCTCTGCTGAGGATGATGTTGCTGTTGTTCAAGACATGATGAAGGTTCCTGCTGTGTTGTGGAGGTGATCTCAAGTGGGTACTCGGGAGTCTGAGGCTTGCTTCCTTCCAAGTCAGGATGATACTGATAGTACCCAGTGGTGGATTGAGACAAATGATGGGCGAGCAGGCGTTGCTGCTGACGGCGATGACGGCGTTCATTGCTTCGCTTCTTGCATCGGATGAGGAGGATGGCGCTTATGACTTGCAGGACAGAGTGAGATGAGATGGTGTCGAGCCCCAATGTTCATGGCATAGCAAGGAAGGAATGATTGATGGAAGGTGACAACATACTCATGATCACTGCTACTCCTCCAAACACCACGCCAATAATTATCTGATCCCGACCGGACGAGGGAGACTCCACGGACGATGATGAGTCTTGACGAGGATATCCATCACGAGGCAGGATCATCGTGCATACCCTCTTGGTGGGTATGACGGATAGATGGGAGTGAGTGGAGCGGAGTGGATAGCAGAATGGATGACAACTTTCTTGCTTGCTTCAAGCACCAACGCACGCAGCACAATGATGAAACAGCACACCAGAAAACGAAACAAAACAGAATGCAGACCAACCCACTGGAAAGAACCAGAGAGCCCTTCGACTTAAAATACTACTCAAGCTCACCAGTCAATTCCATCCTGGCGCTTGAAAAGTGCCTTTCCCCGCTCGGCATCTATTTTAATCTCACCGAACCTGTCACTCAACCAGGGACTCGCACATCACAACTCGTGGAGATGAACGAACAAGCAAATACCAAGCCAAAAATAGCATCCCGATAAGGTGTTAACGGGATCCATTGGATGAGAGACGTGGAGTCGCGGTGCCTGAGCGCTTGGAAGGAGTATGTTCTAAGGGCGCTTATTCGCGATGAGGGTCCGGGAGGGTACGAAAATAGCATATCCTATCTGTAGCTAATTCTGTAGGGCTAGCCGGACTTGAAATAGACACATATCTCCATCGTTCATACAAATACCAACCTCCCAATTCCCACTCTCACTGACGGAACAAAGAGAAGAGAAAACGGAAAATCTACTCCGCAAAAGGCCTATAAACCAACAACCCCCCCTCAGTCTCAAAGTTCACCTCAACCCCAGCACCCACAAAATAAACCCACCCTTCCTTCAACTCAAACTTCTCACCGTCCACACCCATCCATCCACTGCCCCTCACAACAACTAACAAACTCACCCCCTTAACCGCCCTATGCACCTCCTTCTCCCCCTTCCCAAGCCTTACCCCTAGCACCGAGAACTCTGAAAACGGCGGCTCATAAACCTCCGTCTTCCAACACTTCCCAACATCACTTTTCTTCCCCCTCAAAAGAGCGCTATCCACATCATGCGGTGTGAAACTCAACGACCCCGTAAACAAATCCACATCATCGCTCTCCGCCTTGGGACAAAACCCCGTATTTATGACATTATCCGACCTAGCCATACACTCCATAATATCTCCGGTAAGATACGCATGCATACTATCCGCAGGTACGCAAACCGCCTCCCCAGGCCCAAGAGTCATATAATTCATAAGGATCGTGGCGACAAGACTCCCGTTATCGGTATCAGGGTACATCTTCTTCAATCTAGTCAGTAGGCCAGGGATGTATCGCTGGTTCGGGCCGAACTGGGCCTCTGGGATGGTGAGCAGGGAGGAGATGGTTTCGGAGACCAGTATGGGTGGAAGAGTGAGTAGGATGCGGGAGATTTCGCGTAGGAGGGAATCGTCGAAGGTAGGGGCATTGGTTTCTGTGGGGAGGAAGCGTTGGAGAGGGGCGAGTTTGAAGAGGTTTTCGATCTCGTGTAGGGGCTTGAAGCCGACGAAGAGCTCGAAGTTGGAAAGGGCAATGGCAATTTCGGGCTTGTGATTCGGGTCCGAGTATTTGTCTGGCTGGGATTCATGGAGTTTCTCGGCGAGTTTTTTGTCAGGGTGGATTTGGAGAGGAAGGGCTTTTTGGAAGGAGAGGATCTTCACTCGTGCAAATATTCTGTCAGTGTTTATTACAGGATGATAAAAATGGGGTAATAGAGGTTAGGGATATACCTTCGGGAGAAAAGGCACCTCCGTACCCCATTTCTTGTAGCCTTCTCCCGTGACCTCGGGGTGCTTTTGGAGGTATTCGCTTAGGAGTTCACCTGTGGCAAGGATACGAGATGGGACGGTGGGATATGTGCCCATCCACATCTAGTCACAGCTACTTAGTACAATTATCTCTGAGAAGGTGGGTACTGGGACATACCTCAGAATAATGCTGATCATCCTCCACTTCAATTGTACCAGGCGTCTTGGAGCAGAGTACACCAGCTAATGAGTTTTTACCTTGCTTACCCCAGGGATCATTCTATTAACGTCAGTTAAATTCGCAAATTTATGTCAAATGTTGTGATTAATTGATGCATACCTTGATCCCGCACTTAAGCTGAAATACCGAGGTGGTCATTGTGATGAGAGAGAAATCAATTTATATGTACTAGACTCTGACAGAAACTCGATGATACTTCATTTAGGCCAAGGAGAAGAACATTTCATAGGGTATACCGATATTTACTTATATATGAAGTTCGATGTTGACTGCGTGAACATGGCGTCATGGACTGCGTGGAATGGCCGGATGGAATGGCGTCATGCCCTGATCACTACTGCCATGCCCTGATGGTCTCGCCCTGGCCCGGGAAGCCTTCCGACGAGTGATGGAGTTTAAATCTTAACCTTTCTTATCTTATCTGCACATACTGTATTCTCTCTTAAGCGATTCAAGTCGTAGAAATTTGGAAGACAATAGTCCCTGAGGATGCAATTAGAGAGTAGTGGTGAGGGCGGGCCGTCAAGTTGACGTCAGTTCAGTATGGAATGTTACTTAACTAAGTACTATGACTGCAACGCTGTCAGTGTTAGTAATCTAGGGTAATGCTACGAATCATCACTAGTAACAAATTTTGAGATAATTATAGTCGGATGTTAATTATCAGAACCAAGAAATCTATTATTTTGAACGGCTAGTCCAAATGGACTGGAAATTTGCTCAGAAATCCGCCAACGCCCTAAAAATATATGCAGATGCGCTAAAGTCCCCATCACGGCCGTCACATATGGAACTAGTAATGCATCGCTAAACCGGGTCAACATCACAACAAAACAATCATTGATTATCCATAAATATCATCGGCATCCGGGACCATCGCTGTCGTCAAGTTTCTCCCAGACCGGCCCCGCTTCTCCGTACTAGATCCCCCACTGCGACCCAACGCCGGACTGCCCCGTCGACTAGCAGCAGCACTATAGTAGTCCACACTGCTCCTATCTCGTCGAGTAGATAAAGGTCGTTCATACCGCTCCCTCCTCTCTTCATAGTACTCATCATCGTAGCAGTCCTCTGCCGCATCAGGATACCGGCGATGACTCCGCCGCGTACCCTCACTCGGACAACTACTCTGCACACTATGCCGCTGACTCGACCAGCGACGTGAAGTCGGGAGTCCAAGTTCCTCAGCATACTGAGGCGCAGTAGGGATGTATTTGAATCGGGGAGAGTGCTGACTCTGTCGAGAAGCCTTTTCAGCCATCTCCGTGGGATAATCTTGGTGAATTGGTCGGTAGGTAAACTGAGATACCCGTCTTTCTGCTTTGGTTTGACGGTCGGTGGGGGTATTGTTTTCTTTAGGGTCGTCGGTGGTCGGTTTGGAGCGGGAGCTGATGCGCATGGAAAGACGGCGCGGGTTTAGCGCCTTGACGGAGAAAGAGCTGGGTTGGGTAGAGTCGTGATGATCCTCGACAGGACTATCCTGTCCTCGACTTAGAACTTCGTAGGCGGGTCGTCTGCGGTCTGATGACCTGTGGGGGTTGTCGCGCTGGTTCCAGGAGCCCTCGGTGGGAACGGTGATGCCCACGTCGCCCCATCGTTCGTGCAGCCGTTTGTGGGATCCGTTCTTACGAAATCGACCGAGAGGGCCGGTGACTATACTGGCCATGGTGGAGATGGAGATGGAGAGATGGAGGATGATTGGATGGAAGGACACAACTCTCAGCCTTAAGATAGCTGGAGATGACACATGACAGTGGCAGAGGATAAGCTCTCTAGATTGGAGGCTTCTACCCCAGACTCTCCAACGGTTGGCCTGGTAGCTAGGGACTAGGCAGGGTAAGGTGCAGCAGACACGGTGCTGACAGATGCACGTCTAGCCAGGGCAGAGATAATAGGTCGAGGTGATTGGAGGAACAGGAAAGGCAAAAAAGAAGACAAGTTAATTTAGAGTATAACAGGCAGGATGCAACAACCTCGCCAAGCACAGACCATATCAAGATACTTTGTCAGAAGAATCGAAGTCAGGCTTTCTCCAAGGCTGCCAGTCTGGTTCTGAGACAGCCTCGTCTGAACATGGCGGATGGTCCATATAAAAGCCTTGCACGAGCAGGGGCCGCGATGGTGATACCTTTCTTGTTCCACCATCGATATCAAAACACATCATGCATGTTCATTTGTTTTGTTGCCAAGTTTAGCAGCACACTCCATGCCCATCACCCGCATCATGGTTGTCTCATCGTGGGTTAGCCGCCCGGGGTGACGGTTGGGCGCTCCAGCCAAGGGTTCGACTGGAGGGATCGTCCGGCGGGTGGAAAAGGAATACCACTGATAGGCTGACCAGATGCCATGATCTATTTTCAGATCACTGGTTTACCGTCCTAATTAACCGCCCGGATTCGGGGAAAGAATGGTGGTAAATGCGGACGGATTTAGAAGCACTAGTTGGTCACTTGCAGCAGCGTCGCGCCCGGGAACCCCTCCCTCTGGCTCTGAAACCACTCACACTCTATTCCATCTGGTGTGGGAGGCCACTTCATCCCATCCGGCGTTTCATCTGGTCGGTAAGTAGGGCTGGGAGCCAATGGCAGGTGGTGCTTCCTTGTGACCTTCTATTCTTGGAGCTGGACTCGTTAGTTGTGTGATAGGGCCTGCTACTGTGCTGTTACTAAGCTGTGCGGGGCTTCAGGTTGTGAAGTATTGACCTGGAGTAATATTCTAGCAGGTTAGCAGGTTATGGAGTCTATACTAGTTATGAAAGCTATACTCTTTGGAGGAAAAGTCGGTTATATAACAGTAGATTAATGACTAAGAACAGTGGAGGCTGTTGCTAAATAACTCGACTTAACCTTTCATGGAAGACATATTACAGAACCATGTTCCCTCTGTGCAATCAAGATATCCTAGACAGTATTCGAAAGAAAAAAGCACTGTTTCATCACCTGCAATTCTTGAATGTTCCCAGGTAATCCCTAGAATGGAAAAGTACAGCGGAGCGTGTGAACCACCTGGTGCGCCTTATGCTCCGCATCCGCCCATTGAAGCCCGAGTACAATATGAGGTTTCCTAGAAGATTGACTGCATCTCCCTCATGATAACTCCAATACCATTTAACATCTCATTCCTGTGCATGGGTAATTCCACCCGACAGGGAAACCACTGTGAGGCAAGACTGGCTCCTCGATGGCTGGTAAGCAACATTTTGAACACCAGGCTCCCAGTGACAAACCCCATGAGATCATTGAAAAACCGCATAATCACATTCAGCCATGGTAGATGAATCTGGTTGCTAAAAAAATCGATACCGTCAATGATGCATATGATCACCCCGCTTGGGATACGTTTGACCACTTCGGCAAATAAGCGGCAAAGGAACATCACATCTTGCTTCCTGACGGCGTCCAGACCATCCTCTAGCAAGAAGCTGAGATCTAGGCGGTTAGACTCGGCGAGAGTGAGAGTCAATTGATTAATAAGAGATCTCAACATCTCCCTGACTCCAGCCAGGCCATCTTGCGTGCTGCAGTGTTGCCGGCAGAAGAAGGCGATTGGTATCACTGGTTCAGATGGGGTGAGAGATTTCAATAACACCGAACACATGGAGGTTAGCGGTGAGATGGGGCTTTCTTGCAGGATATCCTGCTCCATATTGGAGACCACAAGGACTTGAGAATACATTCTTTGCAGCCAGTTGCGAAATCGGGAATCCTGCAGAACGCCTGTCACCTGGTCTTCGGCATCAACGCCTAGCAGACTCGCTGAGATCAGTAGCCTCCGTCTCTCAGTAGTGATGATCCCGACCGTGCGGTGTATAATGTCAGTACTAGGGAAGGGTTCCGGCGAATGGAGAGCAGTGAGGAGCTGCTCAATCGTGATGCATGCCTGAGTGGCCTGAGAAGCCATCGCGGCATGGTATGCAAGTACTGGATAGAGAGATTAGTAGCAGCAATAAGAAATGTGCCCACCTGCTCGGCGATTCGAAACACTTTGAAACTCACTTGGTTGTATCTGTCTCATGTAATCCCGTAGAATGGCCTCACATCTCTCCCAAGATGCTGCAGCTTGGACCAGGTGCTTCAGATCCCCTCTTATTGCATCCTGCCCTTGGCCGATCCAAACCACATTTTGGCCCATATCATGAACTTCGATGCTCAAGCAGGACTTGACGGCTGTTTCAAAAGCCTTTGCCTTCTCATCGACACTGGCACCGATCGTAGCTTCCAGTTGGGCTCCATAGTCATCTTGCTGAACGACTGCCTTCCCTTTTTCCAGCATACCTCGAAAGACTAGACGATCGTGAGACGCTGAGTCAAAACAATGGAGGTGCAGTTCTTACCGCCCCTTTTCTTAGAGATCCACTTCATAATTGCCTCGATCGCATCCAAGATGCAAATGTAAAGGTTATTAGCTTTCTCCAAAAGCGTTTCGCTCCAGGAGTAGGTATACAGGTAGGGTGAGGCATCCTCGATTGGCCGAGACAAAGTCTCCAGAGATCCTAGAATAATGTCGCGAACGGCATTCATACGATTTGCTGCCTATTATATTATGAGCAACCTGGTATGACAGAGCAAGTGTATGGCATATAGTAAATCAGGGAGGTAATGCAAAGAGGTACGACAATAGAGAAATGTGCTAATACGTACATTGTAAACCAGCTTGAGCCCTCCACATAAAACGCCCATATAGTCTCCACTGGGGACCAGCGCAGTAAGAAATTCCAATCGGGAAGCAGTTTCTCCCATGCTTCGTATTGATCTCCGTAAGAAGTTTTTCTTTCCGTTGGATTTATACCGTAGATCCAGCGCTTTTTGGGCCTCTGCGCGAACCTCCTCCCATGTATGGGTATGTTCGAAGATATCTTTGGCCTGGCTATCTGAAGTAGTCTGGAACAACTCTCTCATGGCAGACTTGAATCTATTTTTTCGATCTTGAACACTGCCAGTTCGCAAAACACATCGTGAGTCCCAACATCAACATGTTCATAACGACCTGACAACTCACTGCGGTGGAGGATCAGGAATGTTGTTCTCCCTCTTGCGCTGCGCTTCTGCGAATGCCCACGCTGGATCAATCCTGGGAGCATTATGCTTCATCCAGGGTGTGACTATGGCCATGCTGTCTTCCATGTTCCCGGTGTCAAACATGTTCTGAGGATGTTTTTACGGGCGGGTGATTAAAGCTGAGCCGCGATATCAGCACCATATCAAGCATGCAGAGGGGTAAATGGGCCGAATGAATTGTTCATATGGCATCCCGGAAGAGACATGCGTACAGACTACCTATCAACTTCGGGGTTCATCGGGGTTCATCGGGGTTGATTGGGGTTGATAGGGGTTCATTGGACGCATGCATGTCTGCCCAAGTTACTCGTTGCTTTTTCATGTAGTCAATGAGTTTCAGCTGAAACCCCATCCTAATGGATCGGCATGCTGGTACCTTCTTAGCAGACTATATTATGACGTCCTGCACATCCTATTGCACCATTCCACAATCGTGGAGAATGCAACGGCCAATCACCTAAACTATTGGCTATTGTAGTGTGCAGCGGCACCCACAGGTTATCTGCGCACCTACTTACTCGCTCTTAGTAGTAGACACCAGTGTGGGTTCAGCTGAACCTGCGACTGGCTTATAAATACTGCTCTGAATTCCTTGCCATTTACTGTGGTACTTGTCCCATTGTCCTCATTCCCAAGGATCTTGGATATCCCACAATCAGTCTCGTTCCAGCATTCCCTTATCTGCTTGTCCCACGGAGGAATTCGAAGACAATAGCGGCTGTAGAGAAAATGGCCGAAAATGTATGTTTTGTTCAGACTTCTGAAGTGTTTATCCAGCCAGCCAATGCTAATTCGATGAGATAGAATACCTGCACGATGGAGAAAGATGCCGCAGTTGTTACCAATTCAAACCCTACAACTGGGGTGTTTCTCTCACTGAGGACAAATCCCCCGGCGGATGATGGTGATGATGACAATGCAGAGGAACACTCAACGCCACACGGTCGACCCAAATCTGATATCATTCCTAGATCGACCGTAGAGAAGTGGTTCAACGCCAATGACCAGTCGATATCTCAATTAAAAACATTACAAGATCAAGCATCCAAGGCTTTCGAAGTTGCGAAATTTGACTGGAGGGATAACATAGTTGATATCATTAACTGCCTTTATGAACAAATGGCTGGGTTACGCAAACTCAATAGCGAAATAGCCGAGTCGCTCTATGAAGAGAAAAGGGATATGCGGACCTCTGTCCCGGAGATCCATCGTTCCAGTTGGGGCGAAACGGCCATCTCCTCCAGTTTCTCGACCAAGTATTTCTCCCTTGAGATCCCGAATACCGAGCCCTCAGTGGGCGATATCATATTCATGCGCCGCAACCGCTGGTCAAATGCTGCCTTCAGCAAAGAATCAAGTGACCCTCTTCCGCTAACTACGCTACCGGAACGAATCAAGATCAACTCGAAGCGGTTGATGAGCTTTTTCAATCACGAATTTTGCAATGGGGCTCTGGATTATGACACTACAAATCCCCTAAAGTTTCTTCGGCCCTTCAAATCATTGGTTTATCTCGAAAAGAAAATTCGGGCCAGGTTGACAGAATTGGAAACTGCTTTGAAGCAAAGGCAGGACTATTCAGAAGGGGGTATGCAAGTCATGGAGAAATCTACCGTAGAAGACAATTTCTATAAGGGTGCAGTCGAGGATCCGTCGTCGTTGGGTCTCTTCGAGCTCACCGCATTGATCATGGATCTCCGATGCCTGACGCGATTTATGGATGAGACCCTTGGTCCAGCCCAGGCGAGCCTAGCTGCTGCACCGGAGATGGTGCGATTCGTCGATCTCTGGTTTCTCTTTGCGCAAGGAACGCTGGTGTACATCAGAAACAGCAATGCTCCCCAAAAGATCTGGAAGGTGGTGCAGCGAACGGGGGGCCGCCGCTACCTGAGCGAGTCGGGTCGCACCAACGATCTAACCACTGGCACATGGGCTCCCTTTGTGCTGGACTGCTTCTATGTAGACTTTGATGGGACCAAGTTCATTCCCGTCTTTCACCAAGTGAGAATAAACGGGTTCGATGGCACCCAAGCCGTCAAGTCCCTCCCTGTTCTCCCGTTCGCTGTCGCGGAAAAGGAAGGTTTCACAGACCGAGAGTACCTGATGGCCCGAGGGAGGCAATTCTTTGATTGCACGAAAAGGTTTCACCATTTGGATTACACTGGCCGGTGCCACTACTTGACTCCCGCAGGGCGAAAGCTGACAGAGCTAGTCGACGAAATTCCCCGTAGCGCTTCCTTCTACTCCGAACACATCGACAGCGATGTGATCGTAGACTTTGCACGCGCGTTGGAGGAGATCCCGTGGTGGCGCCCGATGACCGGTGAACATGACTTTGGCGCTACCGACAGTGCTGAGACCGAAGGAGGACCCGGAGTCGAGAATGATGAAGCCTGGGATAAACGATTCACGGATGACTATATGGAAGGCCAGGCTCAAGTTTGGGAATCCTGGGTCAAAGTTGGAGGTGGCCCAGCTGATGATGACTTGTTGATCCTTCCTGACAGGGTCTTTGCCTTTGTGCTTTCGACCAGGCGATGGGGTATGTTCATTATGTGTAGCCTGCTCTCAGCAGTTGCTTCATGGCTAACAATGCGGGTTCTTTTACCCACTCACAGCTTGTCTCCAGATTGGACGAGGGCCAAATGGGACTGAACAACTGCGCCAGAGGGAAGCCAAAGGCGACCCATGGCTAAAACTACGCCTTCCGGAAGGCCACAAGGACATGGTTCAGTCCTTAATTCACGCGCATTTTGCCCGACAAACGTCTAATGGGGTCCATTTTGACCTGCTCAGGAACAAGGGTAAGGTGCTCAGGTCTATATACTCTATATACCTTCATCGATTTCTTCATCGTTCGTTCTAATGTTTCTGATAGGGAATGGAGTGACAATCCTATTACACGGAGTACCCGGAGTAGGGAAGACATCTACGGCTGGTAGGCTGCGCAAGCTCTTTTTAGCCTAAGCGTACCCATTGCTGACGATAATCAACCTTAAACAAATAGAATGTGCTGCCATAAGTACCAGTAGACCTCTACTGCCTGTCACATGTGGTAAGATATTTACAATGCCGATACTGTCGGAGGGGGCTTACACTTGGATTTTCAATTGATGTAGGAGATCTTGGACTCACCGCTAGCGATGTGGAAGAAAGACTCAAAGAAATCTTTCGACTCGCTCAGGATTGGAAGTGCATCATGCTTCTTGATGAAGCCGATGTGTTCTTAACTCAACGCCGGGCATTTGACGCCGAGAGAAATGCCCTCGTCTCAGGTAGGATAGAAGTCTTCTTTCTCTCTTCTTTGCCCGGGAAGATCACTAACTCCGGGATACCTAGTTTTCCTTCGTACATTGGAATACTATGAGGGGATATTGTTCCTCACCACCAACCGAGTGGGAACCTTTGATGAAGCCTTCAAGTCTCGCATTCACATGTCTCTCTACTACCCGTCCTTAGACTGGCCCCCCACCCACGATATTTGGTCTGGCCACATCGATGAAGCGGTCCGCGCGGGAATCGTAGTCAACAAGGAATCCTTGCTCCAATATGCGAAGAGAATATTCGAACGCCAGCAGCTTCCAGGATCGGGTCCTGTTTGGAACGGCCGGCAGATTCGCAATGCCTTCCAAAGTGCCCTTGCGCTGGCCACATACAACTGTCACAACAAGGATTCCAAAATCGAGCTCAGCACGATGTATTTTGAGAAGGTTTTCGAATTGTCGGATAAGTTTAGCAATTATATATGGAGTACCCAAAATATGCAAGACGATGCGGAGCGAAACCGCAACTCCATGGTCCGACGAGACGATTTTAGCTATAACGCATTTGGAGGGCTCTACTCGCAGCCTCCTCCGCAAGGCACCACCTTTCAGCCAGCAAACCCCCAAGGAGGTTTCCTTCAATCAGCATCCCCACCATTCGGACACCAAGCCACACATCAAATGGGAGGCCTGGGCGGCGGCCAGACCTATATGGGAAACGCTCAGAACTTCCAGGCCAGTATGCAGCCCATGCCTAACCCAGTGGGTCAGCAACTTGGTCAGCCATTCCAACAGCAGCAACAGCAGCAACAGCTAAGCTCACAATCCACCCTGCAACCACAATACCATGTGTTCAGCAACGGCAGTACCAATAATAGCTATGGCTTGCAACAGTTGCAGCAGCAGCAACCTCAACAGCAGCAGCAGCAGCAGCCAAGTCCACAGTTGACCCTGCAATCCCACCCTCATATATCAAGCAACAGCGGAAACAGCGACAACTATACCTTGCAGCAATTGCAACCACCACAGCAGCAACCGCAGCAAGCTCAATTCCTCTCGCAACCTGGTACCATGGCATCACTTACGCAAACTACAACATCACAGTCCGCATTGCCGACATTCGGTCAGGGTCAGCCCTTTGGCCATTCGTAACCAGGTTGTGTCTCGCCTGCTGCTACAAGCCTAGCTGCTTTCTTACCATATGGAATGATGTCCTTATTTGAAGGAAACCAGTGGCAGGTACTACTATTGACGAGCATATAGATGATTCCATTTTCGGTGTTTTCGAACCAAATCAACTGCTTCGTTTATTTTCGTTCTCTTCTTCTTCCTTTCGTTTTCTTTTCCTTCCCTATTCTTATTTTTTTTTTTTTTTTTCCTCTTCTCCATTGCTTTCCTCTTCTATCCAAACGGACTAAAAATGAATCATATGTTCAGGTGCAATTAACATAAGTATCCCTAACAATTTATCCCGTCTCAATCTATTGTCCACTGCCAACTTAACCAGTAGATTCAATAATAACCCTTTAGCCTCTGACCATCACATACTCCTTGGCCATTGACTAAATCTCGCGCAACAGAGTAACGCAGCTACATCCATCTAATATAGATTTAGTGACAAACACCACAGTTACTGACCTGACATAGGAGCTCAATAAAGCTTGATCAATCTTCTTGGAATGCATATAGATATGTGTGTGTCTGTGTTTGTGGCTTGTTTACTACTATGCTATGTGGGTTCCTCGGATGAAAGCAGAATTGTAGATTGATACATGGGTTACCGAGCGTCTTCCTTTATGATTTTGGATCTTTTCAGTCATAATCGAGACATATCTAGTAGTAGTATTGCTGAGTCTATCGAAGGGTCGATTTCTGAGTCCTATGATGGGGCTTATGATTTGGTAAGATTCCTTGAGAAGAACATCTTTCGAAATCACCCACGTGTGTTGACGACAGTTTCATGTCCGGCATGCTAAGGAACCGGGCAGTACAGTGGTACTTTATTTCTGTGGTAGTGATGTAGCCAACAGCGAATCAACCTCTAAAATGAAAGGAAATTCTAAGCCAAGGCGTGGTGTCTATCCAATCACCCCCATAGAAAAAGAACTTCACTCCCAACGTATGATTCTAAAATGTAATCCCCATCTAGACCCATTGCCATGAGCTAACGCATAAACTGCCCAATAAGCTAGTAAATCCGACCAAACCAAGATGTCCTCGTCAATATATAATATGTACACCGAAAGAATAGTTCCCATCTTTATGTTGTCTGCTGATCGCAGTGTTCCAGCACATACGTCACAACTGAATATGAGCGATCAAGCAATATATATCTGGTCAGTTGTAGAAGTTACGGGAAGTGGGATTGGAGACATAGGCTTTGGGCGTCATCCGGAGGTGGTGAGGGGAAGGTGGCAACGAGGGCTCAGGTGTCGTTGGTATCGCGTGCGCAGATAGGTCTGGAGGCCATACAGGAGCTCGCTGCGAAGTCACCCGTCCTATTTGTATGGGAGAGGATGGATGTGGTGACTGTGCACTGCCGTTAGGGGTGGCCTCATCGGAAGGCGGGTCGTCGGATGATGACGGTTCCCATGAAACATGCCTTTCTAGCGGGACGCGGGTTGGAGGGGAGGATTCCTCAGTATGTTCGTCGCTCTCAGAATATGGACTATAGAATCCGTCCCCGGTGTTGAAAGTTTGGCTCGGATTGCTTTGACGGCGCCGTTGCACTGCTTGGTCCAGTCTGGCCGAGGCCACAGAGTCGATTCGGTGCGTTTGTTCGGATAGCAACACGCTGCGGGACCTTTGTAGGAATGGTCTTGTCCGCCGGCCTGGATCGTGGCGGGTATGTTTGATCTTTTCGATTTCATGGTTATAGGAACTTCTTCGGTTCAACAAACGTCCTCGGCCTCCACTGCTGTCGAGGGATTCGATCGAATGGCCAGCAATGCTATCTGTTCTTGCGTGGACGCGGCTCGGGCAGAAGGCCACTCGAGCCCGCATTTTCTGGATGGCCAAGTCCAGCGCCAATTCGATGGCGCAGTGGTTGCGTATTCGTCCAAGCTTGGGCCATGTGGCCCGCTCGCCGCTTAGGCATGCTTGAAGCATAAATTCGGTCGTCGGGTTGCGTAGCATGACGGGAATGCGAGAATACTGAATTTCCGGGTAAATATTGATGTCCCCGGAATACTTCTGGTTGACAATCGAAACTGTTTTGGTTAAAGACGTGGGAAAGATCCCTAGCTCGGACATGACTGTCATCCGATGTAGAATCTCATCCTTGGCAAGATAGGTAATATTCCGAATCCAGCGAGAGGCAGTGAAAGAGTTTTCCATATATGGATCTGGCCCATCATCCTTGGGGAGAAATGGAACGACATGGGGATTGACCTGCGATACAATGAAGTGGTTGACGTTGAACATTTCCGACAGACGAGTCATAGGGAGGTCACCGTCCACGGAGCCATCAATATACTGCCTATGAAGGTCGCTCCATGGAACTGGTTCTCCTGTCAGGGGGTCCTTAGCCATAAGGGCATACGGCGAAAAGACTACCGGGACTGAACATGAGACGGCCCTGTTGAAGTCAGCATCAACTCCTACAGGTTTGAAAACAGTCGGAATTGTGTAAGGGGGACCATACACAGCAGACCAGATTAATACATTGGGCGCAGTTATGTAGTTCAACAACTTGGGGAGCTCGTAGATGCCAGCACTGGAAACGCAAATGTTGAGGATGCGTCGTGTTCGGTTATATGCCTCCTGGAAGGTGATATCGCCCAACCAATTTCTCACCACCTTGGCTAGGTGAGAGATGTCCAGAAATGACCCATATTTCAAGAACCGGGCTGTCTTCTGGAGGATAGTATCTTCCTCAGTCCCCTCGCCGAAAACAGCAAAGTCCCCTTCTGTAAAGGAATCCAAGAGAGCTGGGAGCTCATCCTCAGTGCGAGTACAGAAGACGGCACACACAATGCTGCCCGCAGACGCGCCGGAGATGATTCGCGGCAGAAGGTTAGCTTGCCAAAGAGCCTTTAGTACGCCAATATGATTCATGCCAAAAGTGGCTCCCCCGGAGAAGAGAAGCGCACTTCGCCCGAAAGCCTGTCTCGCTGCGAGCAACTGGTCCAGGATATACCTGGATTCCACCACATCGCACCGGTTTTTATCCGCCAGCTCAACCAACGACAATATTGTTTCCAGAGCGGTATCAATATATTGATCGATGAGGTTCTTAGTTCCGAGATGAGCATGCTTGTAGAGAGAGGCGTTGCTCATGTTGCCTAGATCGCGGCTCAGGGACGTGCGGATGAGGAACAACATGCGACTGATATCACAGTTGATCCGGGCATCGTCCAGCTGCTTGAGACGATCGAGCACGAGATGAGGGTCATAGTCGAGGCACTCAAACGTTTCCTTCCAAGCAGAGTTATTCTCCAACTCATCCAGTTCGCTCGCAGCGTCTCGCCATTCTTCGTAGGTTACAGCCTGAAAGGCGTTAGCTAACAGCATGCCGGCTGATCCTAAATGATGTGAAGCTGTGTTAACTCACATTGCGCTTCTTGAGGTACAAAGCCTCCTTTCGCTCATCCACAGCAGCGCGCAGTCTGCGTTCCTTCTGGGACTGGCCATTCCCATAGGAACCCCACGTGTCCCCCGCCCATGTCAATGAGTTTTTGACGACAGCCGACAGCGACGGGAGAGAAACGGACTTGAGGACAGAGCGACGGGGTGTATTTGGCGTCTCCAGAGAGCGCGGTTTGCCCTTTACATGACACTGGGGTCGAACAAGGGAGGAATCATGCAGGATGGACATGACCGGCTTCAGGATGCATCAGGCTCGCATCGGTGCGGAGATGGAGGGGAAACTAAGTTTGGATTGGAGAGGGTGCCTAAACCGGGGTAGGCAAATCGGAGATCTTAGCGAATTAGGCCCGATAAAGCATTCGAAAGGTACTCTTAATAGGTAGAAGTAAAGAAGTGAAAGGAAGGGAGGATGTTGGTGACGTTGGGAATGTAGGTCGGAGCAACAGCAGGAAGTAGATAGATGTAGCCGCAAGAGTTCGTGCGCCGCGTCTTTAGCAGGTCAGGCACGAGGCAAGGCCAGCCCATCCGTCAGTCAGCCGGATCCATGCATTTTAGTTTTGCTGGTCTTCTGCCAGGAATAACCGAGAGAGAGAAAATGGCCACTCTTTCTCTCCAGACGTCACGAGGCAGCATTCCCCGGATGTCTGATTGGTCCCCCGGCTTTCCAGCGGGTGCTGCCGATCGCCCCAGTCACGGGATGGAGTTGGGAATTACTCTTCAAGTATTCTATTGTTCACTGAAACACCATTGCGGGTTATTGCTTAAAGAGCCTAGAACCAGTCTTCAATCTTCCATTTTTATCATCATCGATGAACACCCCATGTTTTCATCCATAACGCTAGACTCTTATCTAGTGGACCCCGACACCAGATCCCCGATCGGCATTTGCATGTGTGCGATGGCGACTTCTTCATCCGATGGCCGATACATCCGGTGATATCATACCCCCACAATTCTCTGCTGCATGCCTTTTGCATGCTAAAATCTGCAGATCAGCCAAACTCAAAGGGCTTCCACCTCATGCCCTAGACTATTACCCGGTGTCAGATCCGGCCTGATCGGGAACAGCGCTAAATCGGACCTGGGATGGCAACCTTGGTTCACCGGCCTGGCATGGATGGTTCAAGCTTTCGGATCCTATAAGGATATGCTGTATGTATTTTCCTGCCTTTTCGCTCCTCGAGAGTTTTGCGACAAAATATGAACATCCCAGCAGACCGGGAGGTCTTGCGTCATGGGTGTGGTGATTTCGCCGATGAACGAGTAGAGACCATAGAGACTTCACTCATCACTGCAAAGACACCATGGCATACAGGATCATGCAAAATGCAGCTGAAACATACCCAAAGTGGATGCTCGTCGAAATCAGCTCTTTCCATGGAGGGGACCTTCCTCTGTCGGAACGGTCAGGCGAGCCACACACGCCCGCTTCACATGCTTCACCATTCTGTCAACCCCTGTCCCTGCATGTGAAGGGAGAGAGATAATCCACCATCTGGTTGGCACTCTATCACGCAAGCCTCTCGTATCTTAGACACACATGATCTAGACTCGAAGTGGGACAC